AAATATCATTAAATTAAGCTACGGGGTATGGAACGGTCAACCGTTTGGCGGGACGGTCAACCTTGATCTTCTTTGCATCGAGATGCCGGATTACCGTGACGGTCGACCGCGGTTGACCGGCGGTCGACCGTTGTTGACTGAGTGGCGACGCTGGTTCTCGGCTAGGCAGGCGACGGTCGACCGTTGGCAACCGGCAGTCGACCGTTTGTCTGATAGTCTTGCTTCGTTTCGATGTTTAACGCGACGGTCGACCGTTTACATCGACTGTTCAGGTTTGTGAATCTAATTTTTGGTATTTTGGATGTCTAAAATACTGATTTGAGTCATTTTAACATCTATGATTAACATATCTATGTATTTGAAGTATTTCTAACACTTATATATTCATTAAGGGCAAGGTATTAAGGAAAACATATCTTAAGCTTATGAGCTTGATGGCTTTGATTTTAAAGCATAAATGACTTATAACATGGCAATCAATCCTAATGATATATCCATATTGATATTCAACCAAGGATTGCATTACTAGGGTGCAATGTACTCGCCTTGATATCGTAGAGGTCGGAAAGATAGAAAGATAATAATACGCTTCAACGAACGTTCAACGTACGGTCACCCCTATCAACTTTGAGCTTCTGACGTTCAATCTTCTTGGGAATAACCTCCGGAAGTTCCTAATAACCACGAGAGAGTTGACGGTAAGTATTTGGAAAGAAACAATGTGAAAGTGATGAAGAAACATGGCCAACTCGAGGAGCTCTCCACCACTGGAGCAGTCCCGGTATTTTGGCCATATCTCCTTCGTTTTTAACGAAATCGCGAGCCGTTTGTTGGGTTGCATTCGTAACATCCGGGGCTACGATTTTGGTATAATAAACATTTTGAGAAAATGAACGGAAAATTTCAGAATTGGCTCACAAGTAGACTGATTGTTTTGTGCTCAGGATTTGGGAAACCTTGATGCTTTTTCTTGCTTCTTCTTCTTCTTCTTGACTCAACAATGGAGTTGAATGAAGCTTGTTTCTTCTCCCCTTGCTGGACTGCCGATAGAGAGATAGGAAAGGGAATTGATGGATGATGATGATAATGTATGGGGATAATGATGGTGGTGGTAGAGTAATATTATAGGAAAAGTAGTTTGGAGGTATATGTTAGTAGGGTTCCTAGCATGTTCCTAAGGTGACCAAAAGGGATTTGAAGGGATTGGGAAAATATCCCTGCGTGATTGGAAGATTTTGGGGAATCAAAAATATATTCTCCTACTCCGTAACTGATAAACTGGCTAAAACGGTATGCGCTTTTTCGCCCAAACTGTTCCGATTTGATAACGGGTCGCATATTTGGAATCAGACTGTCAAAACTAAATTTTTGATATAATTAAAATATTTTTCGGAAAACTTTTATTTTCTAGTGTTTGGGTCTGTCTCAGTCATTAATTAATAGTTAAATTAATTAATTCTTTTTGGCCTAATTTTGGGGCGTTACAGTCTGCTTATAAGATTGTAGACTAGCCCACAAACCAACACACGTCTTTCCCACGCACTTTGTCCTCACTCATGCGCGCCCAAGGAATTTCCCAAGGGGTCACCCATCCTAAAATTTCTCCAGGTCAAGCACGCTTAACTTTGGAGTTTTTAGGTGATGAGCTCTCGAAAAGAAGATGCACCTTGTTGGTATGAGTAATACTACCAATCCTTTTGAGCTCTTCCCATTCCCATCTTAATACGGAATATTACATTAATAATCTATATGTTAAGACAAATCAAACAAGATCACACATGACTATATTTAGGCTTACACATTGAGAGAATATGATGAGTCAAAGTGCTTAGATGAACAGTTCCAAAAGTAAAAAAATGGACGAATACTTCGGGACGGAGGGAGTAATAAAAGAGATAGACTTTTTTCCCTCTTCTTTAGATTTTAAATCTTAGAGCACTGGTACTACCCATCACGCCGACCGGCGTGATAGGGGCGTTTAACGCCGGGGAGCGTTAAACACCGCCCCCTCCTCGGTGTGAAACGGGCGTGAGACGTCCAGCGTCATTACTTTGACGCGGCGTTGCTGCTTTTTTTCAGCGGCTCCCCCCCTTCCCAACGGCTATATAGCCGTTACCCCCCCCCCCCCCAAAATAAAAAAATTATAAATTTAAAAAAAACCTATAAAATCCCCCTTTCTCATACATTTTTCTCACACCTCTCTCACACATCTCTCTTTATTACTTTATATTCTCTCTAAAATATTTATTATTTATTATAAATATTAATAAAATATAATTTAAAAATGGGTTCATCTTCCGACGATGAAAGAAGAGCTTTATTTTATCATTGTTTCGCGACGAATTGTATTCAATGGTGGGAAGATGGCCAAGAGGAAGCCGAATCCTCCCGACGACACACCCGACGCCAACGTCTAAACCTGGATCGAGCGGCCGCCCACGCTTCACTTCTAAACGACTACTTTAATAATCCGTGTGTTTATACACCGGAAGATTTTAGTAATTGTTTTCGGATGAGTCGTCCTCTCTTCTTACGCATACTCACCGATGTTGAACGCGAGGTTCCTTAGTTCACCCAACGGTTTGATGCGAGAGGGCGACGCGTGTTTAGTAGCGTCCAGAAGTGCACTGCCGCGCTCCGTCAGTTGGCGTACAGGACGACATCCGATATGTTCGACGAATACTTAAAGATATTGGCTCGGAGCATCAGGTCCTGTGTTTATAAATTTTCAAAAGCTATTATTCAAATTTATCATAAAAGATATTTACGCAAGCCTACAGCGAGCGACATCTAGCAGTTGCAGGCAAGACATGCCACTAAACACGGCTTTGTCGGCATGCTTGGGAGTATTGATTGCACGCATTGGGAATGGAAAAATTGTCCCACTGCGTGACACGGTCAATTCTCCCGGGGAGATCATCCGAAGCCTACCATCATGCTTGAATCTGTTCTTCGAATGACTTGTGGATTTGGCATGCTTTTTTCGGTGTCGCGGGCTCAAACAACGACATCAACGTTCTCGATCAATCGCCTGTTTTTTACGATTGGGTTAATGAGACCGCACCTTTGCAAGCGTGGATATTATTTGGCCGATGGAATATATCCGGATTATTCCACGATTGTCAAATCCCTCTCCGAACCAATGGGTCTTAAACGCCAAACCTACAAAAAAGCTCAAGAGGCGGCGAGAAAAGATATTGAACTAGCCTTTGGGGTCTTGAATGCTAAGTGGCGCATTCTAGATCGTCCGTCGAAATGTTATTCTCAGATTAAAATGAGAATTATCATGTACGCATGTATTATTCTTCATAATATGATCATAGAGGATAACGGTTCTGCAATTTGTCAATACAACTCGGATGAGGAGGTGCCTATGTACGGAGAAATCACCGAAGAAAAGAAACGACGCAACCGCCAAGAAATTCGAAGCCGAGAGATTCACAATGCACTAACGGCGGATTTGATCGAACATATCTTTAGTCGTTCGAATAATTAGTGATTTCTTTTGTACTGTTGTTTTTTTATGTAATTTTTTTTAATGAATGCAATTTTTTTTAATGTTTTTTTATGAATGTAAGTTTTTTTATAATGAATTTAATTTTTTTATGCACTAGTGTCATTGCGATTAATTAAAATAATAAATTAATTTAAATTTATTAATTTAAATTTAAAAGATGTAGATTTAAAAATGTAAAAAAATGAAGGTTTGAAGCCCCAGTTTGAAGCCCCGTGGCTTTAAAACCATTTCTAGTAAATTTTGGGTGTAAGTTGAAATTGACGTGGCAGAGAGAAGGTTTGAAGGCGGGGGTGGAGACCATCCTAATCTTCTGCCTACAAAAAATAAAGTGAGGACGAGGCAAGGTTATGGACGGTCGGATACTCGCCATCACTGCGCCGCCACCTAGCAGCCGAAGCCCTCGCCGTCTCCGGACGCATCCGTCATCATCAACTTTGCATCTTTGCAATCCTTTTCCGTTCCATCCCTGCCTCCGCCGTCCCAGGCCTACCGCCAGGTGCACATTCATCCCAGCCGCCCCTGCCTTACTGCTGCTGCGCGCATCTCCGTCCCAACCGTCAGAGCCATTACGCCGTTGTACCACACCTGCCGCAGGTTCCACTATCTCAAATTTCTTGGTTTGATATTTCCCCTCTCTCCAAGTTCTTGAATTCCTACTTTTGTGTAATTCTATTTGGCCTAAATAATGCATTTGATACTAGTTTTATTCTTCAAACAACGTGTTTGACAGTTTTATCTAGCTTAAATTTGAATTTGAATCAGGTTTTGAGCAACTATGTTTTGTTTTTTTTGAAATCCAGTTTTATCTATCCAGTTTTCTTTAGCTCTATGTAACAAGCTCTTTATTGAAATAAGTAACATTCAAATTGACACTTTTTATTATCTACAGAGTAATAAATGCATTCAATGTAGTTCCTTTTGTTGAAATAAGACTTTGTGTTTGAACAAAAGGGCTTATAAAACTTTACTTCCCTTTTGGGACTAAGAGCACACGGTATACCTATCACGCCCACCGGCGTTACGGGGCGTTTAACGCCCCGGGGGCGTGAAACACCGCCCCCCGCTGGCGTGAAACGGGCGTGAGGGCGGCTGCGTCATTCCTTTGACGCGGCGTGAAACGGTAATACTCCCTCCTAACGGTTAAAATAGCCGTTGCACCCGATATCGGGTCTAGTAGACCCGACTCCAGGCCCAACTAACGGCTCAAAACGGCCCAAGAGGAATAAAATCAGATAGAATGACGGGCTAAGCCCAGTATCCCGCATTGATGAATGGAAGGAGACGGCCCAAACGTGAGGAGGACCAAAGTGACTCAGTCCAAAGGAAGAGTGGGACGCGTGGCCCACAACCTCAAGTTGTGGGCGAAATGGGAAGAGTACGAGACCGGAAAGCGGGGGAATCACAACCCCACGATCTCCATAATCTATTTCTATTTTTTGTGTAATTATAATTACAATATTAAAAGTACTATAAATAGGGGGGAAAACCCGCCATTGTAATCCAAGTCACAACAAGACAATTCAACCAAAGAATATTATTGTGTGATTATATTTCCTTAATTCATATTTCGTTCTTGGTCCGCCATCTGATCGGGTTAATCCCATCATTGGTGCTTCCATTGAGAGCTTATTGTGAGATAAGGCTGTGAGATTATGGCCGGACGAAGGACGAGACGTAACCCTCCTACTTCTGCCCAATCGACGGTTAGGAGTGATAACCGTGGACAAGGGATGATCGTTCCTGTCAATGGGCTGGAGACGGCATTAAATAATGTGGCTAACACGATGGCCAACATTATGGAACGATTAGATAAGGCTCTTCCGGGACCATCCGGAACCCGAAACGTCCCAGCTGGGCAACCTCGCCAGGTCTTGCATACGGCAAGCTCTCCTGTCCTCCAGGAGCTCCATGATCCGGAGGACGTTGAAAGGGAGAGGCAAGCTGTTAACCGACGCCGGGCAGAGGAGATGGCTCGGAATAGCAAGGTGAATGAAGGCCAGGCCAGGGACCCAAGCCGGATCTTTGTCGATGAACGCGAAAACCCGCGGGGATCTGTCTTCGAAAGGATATCTCGCCAGAAAGCTCACGTTAGTGAGAGGCTGGGGAAGAATCCGGAAAAGGCACCCCAGGGTTGGGTACGACCCCAAGTCAGCCAGGTGGCGTCCTCTAATCGTGAACCACGGCAGCGAAATGCTCGTGGTGCGAGCCAAGTGCTGGTTCAGTCCTTACGGAATCAGGAGGAGGATGAAGTTCAGAGCCAGGCCAGGGTCCCGGCACCACGGCGTCTAGGACCGCCGGTGCCGGAAGCTGGTGAATTTCAAGACCTGAGACAGCAGATCCAGGAGATGCAGAAGAAGATAAACAAGGGGCGAGTATTCACCACCCGAACGAATACTCCTTTGGCTCCGGAGATCTTTGCGGAACCATATCCGCAGGGATTTAAAATGCCGTTTGTCAAGCGTTACGACGGCGAGTCAGATCCCAGGAGCATATAAATAGCTATGTCCAAGTGATGATCGCTGTAGATGCCAGTGACGCACTCATGTGTCGGTGTTTCTTGCAGACCGTTGATAGCAAAGTTGCAAACTGGGGCAACCATATCCCTACCGGATCGATCCGGACCTGGGACGAATTGGGACTACGATTCCTAGAGCATTTTGCCGGGAACTGCCGCCCCAAGAAGCATTTCACTCACTTGGCCTCGGTACGACAAAAGCACGGGGAGTCCTTGAAGAATTTTCTTGTCCGATGGAGGAAAGAGTCCAGGGAGGTTGAAGGAACTGATGACAAATCTAGGTTGGCCATGTTTACGGCGGCACTACAGGATGGACTCCTTCATACCGATCTCACTACTCATCCCCCGGACACATTTGAAGAAGCAATGGTCCGGGCAGGAAGGTATGTGACCCTGGAAGAAAGAAAGGAGGAGAAAAAAGAGAAGACCCCTAAAGAGGAAGAAAAGAAGGGGAATAAGAAGCTGTTCAAGAACAAAAAGCAGGGCTTCCCGGATGGCCCAAAGGGCGCCAGTCCAGGGACCTCGGAGAAGCATAAATCTGCCAATCCAGTCTTCACGTTGCCGGTGGCTGAGGTCATGGCCCATGCTGGGCAGCAAGGGCTTATGACCTACCCAACTTATTCTCAGAAAGTCTGCAACGTGGAAGATATGGGGAAATGGTGTGCCTACCATCGCAAGAACGACCACAACACGGAAGATTGTTACACTTTGAAGAATGAGATGGCAAGGCTAATCCGCCGGGGTCATCTGAAGAAGTTCGTGCAAGACGGTGACGCCGGAAATCCCGGGAATACCCAGAATGGGAAACGCAGAGATAAGGAAGTGGCCCAGGCTGAGACCCGGGAGAAACGCCACATCGGGCTGGATGATGAAGAGGAAGATTCGGAACCCGCACCGCATCGCCAAAAGAGGCACCACGGGTGTAGCTTTATCATTGGAGGAAATACTGGCGGAGACTCGGCCACAAGCCGGAAGAAATGGGCGAATGCGGCAATGGTCAACAAGGTGTTGGTTCCGGAAGGTAAAAAGCTGAAAACCGAGCCTATTGTATTTTCTAATGCTGATCTCCCAGAGACCGGGGTTCCCCATAGGGACGCCTTGGTCATCACCATTGATATAATGGACTTACTGATCCATTAAACCCTTGTGGATACGGGAAGTTCCGTTAATATCATGTATATGGATACATACAAAGCTCTCGGTCTGACAAGGGATGAGTTATCACCCATCAAGACTCCACTGACCGGGTTCACTGGTGATTCTATTGAACCGGAGGGGGTGATAACCCTCCCGGTTGAGATAGGAGATACTAAAGCAACCCGGAAGCTGGACATGGAGTTTGTTGTAGTGGGAATAATTTCCAACACGAACATTATCTTAGGAAGACCCGGGTTGGAAGATTTGGAATGTGTTATCTCACCACGTCACCTGCGCATCAAATTCCCAACCCCCCACGGAGTTGGAATTGCCAGAGGATCACAGAGAGTTTCCCGGGCGTGGTACTTGAAGGCAACCAAACAGCCAGTCAAGTACGATTCCCAGGTGGGAGAAGTGACCGCGCAACTCCTCAGGGCCGAGGAGAAACGTCCTAGAGTGGAAGTTGCCGGTGACATTGAAGAAGTAGAGTTAGAACCAGGTACGCCGGGGAAATTGGTTAGAATTGGTAAAGGCCTGGGGGCTGAACTCAGATCACGGGTGATTTCAGTCCTCAGGAGGTTCAGAAAGGTCTTTGCATGGAGTCCAGCTGATATGCCCGGGCTGGATTACAAGGTTGCAGTTCACCGCTTGAATGTTCTGCCGGATGCCAAACCGGTGAAGCAGAAGCGGAGACATCTATCACATGAACGGAGAGACTTTGTGAAGAAGGAGGTAACGACTTTACAGAGCATTGGGCACATCCGGGAGGTTCAATACCCGGACTGGTTGGCAAATGTAGTCCTAGCGCCCAAGCCTCCTTCATGGAGAATGTGCGTAGACTACACAGATCTGAACAAGGCATGTCCCATGGATCCTTTTCCACTTCCCAATATAGATCAGATGGTTGATGAGACTGCCGGGTCAGAATTGATGAGCTTCATGGACGCCTTCAGTGGCTACCATCAAATCAGAATGCACCCGGCAGATGCAGAAAAGACAAGCNGAACGGAGAGACTTTGTGAAGAAGGAGGTAACGACTTTACAGAGCATTGGGCACATCCGGGAGGTTCAATACCCGGACTGGTTGGCAAATGTAGTCCTAGCGCCCAAGCCTCCTTCATGGAGAATGTGCGTAGACTACACAGATCTGAACAAGGCATGTCCCATGGATCCTTTTCCACTTCCCAATATAGATCAGATGGTTGATGAGACTGCCGGGTCAGAATTGATGAGCTTCATGGACGCCTTCAGTGGCTACCATCAAATCAGAATGCACCCGGCAGATGCAGAAAAGACAAGCTTTATGACCCCGGAAGGTTTGTACTGTTATCTAGTGATGGCTTTTGGGCTGAGGAATTCAGGGGCGACCTATACCCGGATGGTTTCACAGGTTTTCAGGGCTGTCTTAGGACGGACCATGGAGGCCTATGTCGATGACATGATTGTCAAGTCCAAAGAGGCCCGAGACCATGTCCGGGACCTTGAAGAAGTCTTTGAAATCATGATGAAGGTAAATTTGAGACTGAATCCAAAGAAATGTACCTTTGCTGTTCAGGGCGGAAAGTTCCTTGGGCACATGGTGAGCCGGAAGGGAATTGAGGCAAACCCAGAGAAGGTCAGAGCCATAATGGAGATGGAACCCCCGAAAACAGCAAAGGAAGTGCAGCGGCTGACAGGAAGATTGGCAGCTTTGAATCGTTTCCTCTCAAAGCTGGCAGAAAAGGCACACCCGTTCTTTGCAGTGATCAAGAAGAAGGCGACCTTCGAATGGACACAGGAATGTCAAGAAGCATTTGAGGGACTGAAGAGGTATCTCTCGAGTCCACCGGTTTTATCCAAGCCGGAACCTGGAGACATTCTGACTCTGTATTTAGCAATTGCGGACTGCGCCATAAGTACTGTGATTGTAAAAGAAGAGCATGGGGCCCAACACCCGGTCTACTACATCAGCAAGACCCTGAGAGATGCGGAGTTGAGGTATTCCCGGCCGGAGAAAGCCATGTTGGCGGTTTTCTGGACAGCAAAGAGGTTAACTCCGTACTTTCAGGCCCACCGGATTGTTGTGCTTACTAATGAGCCTTTGGCATCACTCACCCGAAGCCCGGCGGCGTCGGCCCGAATGACAAAATGGGCAGTATTCATCAGTCAGTATAACGTGGAGTTCAGGCCGCGTCCATCCATCAAGGGACAAGCACTCGCTGACTTCCAAGTTGAATGCACTGCCAGAGAAGTGACCAGAAATCAGACTGAAATTCGAGCGGAGAAGGACTGGTGGATAATGAGCATTGATGGATCTACTGGGTCCCGATCTTGCGGAGCAGGTATCGTCTTGATCACCCCAGAAAATTTCCGGCTTTATTACGCAATCAGGTTCCGGTTCCGTGTATCCAATAACGAGGCTGAGTATGAGGCCCTGATCAATGGGTTGAAAATTCTTGGCAAGATAGGGGTGTCCAAGGTCCAGGTTTACACTGACTCCCGACTGGTGGTGGGACAGATCACAGGGGAGTTTGAAGCTAAAGAGGAAAGGATGAAGAAATACCGAGACTTGGCCTTAGAGATGCTGGGGAGGTTTGAATTTAAACTTGAACATATTCCCCGGGCCCAAAATGCTGAGGCTGATGTCCTCTCCAAGCTCAGCGCGGAGTCGCCGGAATACATAAGCAGGATAGCAACCGTCGAAGAGCTGGTTACCCCGAGTCTTAACAACAATGAGGTGATCTGGGTATCGGCAGATCCCCCGGAATGGCTGGACCGATTGGCCAAATATATTGAAGACGGTGAGACCCCAGAAGATCCCCAAGAAGCGCGTCTGTTACGGATGAGGGCACCAACTTATAAGGTGCAGGATGGAGTCCTCTACAAGCGATCTTACAACAGCGTTTTGCTCCGTTGCCTTAGGGCAGCGGAAGCGAAGGCACTAATGGAGGAAATACACGAGGGAGTTTGTGCCGCGCATCAGGGTCCTTATTCCTATTATCCAGGGGTACTTCTGGCCAACGATGAGGAAGGATTGTGAAGAATATGTACGCAAGTGTCCGACCTGCCAGGAGTTCCAGAATATACCCGGGAGGCCAGCAACGGATTACACACCCATCAGTTCTGTGATCCCCTTCTCAAGATGGGGAATCGATATTGTGGGGGCCCTGCCAAAAGGGGCGGGGCAGGCAAGGTGGATCGTGGTCGCGATAGACTATTTCACGAAGTGGGTTGAGGCTGAACCACTTGCCGGGATCACCGGGAGGCAAATGATCGACTTCGTTGGGACTAACATACTCTGTCGGTTTGGAGTCCTGAAGCAGATTATATCAGACAATGGAACCCAGTTTGAGGAAGCAGAGTTCCAGAACTTCCTCAAAACCTGGGGAATTCAGCACACGAAGGTGTCTGTTGCGTATCCACAGGCCAACGGACAAGTGGAGAATGTCAACAGAACAATCATCGACGGGATAAAGAAGAAACTACTTTCGGAGGGAAGCAAGTGGGTAGATGAATTGCCCAGGATCCTGTGGACATAATGGACGACTCCCAGGAGAGCCACGGGTGACACTCCTTTTGGCCTGGCTTATGGCTTTGAAGCCCGGGCTCCTGCAGAAGTAGTAATCCCCACCAGAAGGGAAAAGGAATATGACCCGGAAGTGAACGAGCAGAATCAGGCCGTAGAGCTGAACTTCGTGGAAGAACGAAGGAATGAGGCACGCATCCAGGCAGAAAATTATCGTCGCCAGGTGAAATCCTACTTTGATAGCAAGGTGAAACCAAGGGCATTCCAGGTGGGGGATTATGTTCTGAGAAAGCGAGAGAAGAGTCAACCAACTAAGGGTGGGAAACTGGCTAAAAAGTATGAAGGACCTTATATTATCAAGGCCGTTGTTCGCCCAGGTACCTACAAGTTGGTGACTCCCAACGGAAAAGAAATTGATAGGACATGGAATGTAGAGCACTTGGTCAAATTTTATCAGTGAATCATTTTGTAAAACACTTAATTTTTTCAATTTAGATGTTGTAAAATTTTCTTTTCTTTTAATACCAAGTGCCCTTGCAATTCCGTTGTCTGTAGATTTCTTAAAAAAAAAAAAAGAAAAAAAAAAGGGGAGAAGCACCCCCGGGCGAAATAGACCCGCGTCATTACAGGGAGGTGGAAAAGTTTATGCCACCTGCTAAAAATAGGGGAGGTAGAAAAGTTTATGCCCCCCCTGGAGGTAGAAAAGTTTATGCCTCCATCAAAAATGGAGGAAAGGTTGGGATTGGACTTCGAGGGCCACTACAACCCGGAATTCAGGAAGAACAGCAAGCAGACTTCGAGGGCTGAAGCCTAGTATTCCACAAACATTGATCAACCGAGCAAACAAACTTTGAGGGTTGGAGCTCAACTGATCTAAGGTAGACAAGATTATGCCTTAACCCGGAGGAGAGGGAAGTCAGGGACATATTGGATGAATGCCCCGGGCATACCCAAACCCCGGGAAGATGAGATCTGAAATAGAAATGAATTGTGTACTTGCATCTGAATATACATGCAAAGATATGATGATTAAGGACCACATTTATGGGCCGAAGTTTACATTCTTTGGTTCATAATAAAGGCTCCTAACAAAATAAACAAGAAGAAAGAAGTTGGTTTGCAGGAGGCTAGGGACTGAAGGAGAGCCTATTGCATCCATGCAGTCAACAAGAAGGAGGTGGGGGACCTTTCCATGGACTCCCTCTCTTTGACGAGGGACGCGCTGATGAATTAGCAGATTCCCATGTGTCATAATCTTCCCATGTCCCAGGACGGGGGGCTGCTCCCTTCGTGGGGAAATCATTCTCGGAAAGCTTGAGCAGGTTTGGAGGAGCAGTTCGGCTTTCACATGAAGGTTCCGCCTCAACAGTTCGCAGAGAACGTTCAAGTTTCTTCCTACACATCCTCTGGTACAGGGCAAAGTCTTGGAGGGTCATAGAGTCCCAGTCTATCTCCCCGGAGCGAAGCCGGGGTGGACTTGGAGGGGATGGAGCCGGAAGGTGAGGCGCCGGATAAAGTCTCGAGAACTCGCCGGGACTCAACCCGGCCATGTCGTTTGACTGGGCTGGGGAGATGGGGAAACCACCGTCTAAAGAAGAAGGCGTTCCAGAGAGGGTTAAGTCGATGATGACTTTTCCCTCAGACTTGCTTGCCATGGTGAAGAAGTCAGGAAGTGATGAACGAACCACTAATTACTCCTTCCCATTTTATAGTCAGTGGGAAGGGATAGTTGGAAATGATGAATGCAATTAAAAGGCGTGAAAGATTAAGCGATTGGTGGAAGGAGCGGTCGCGGCTTTCCCAAGGTTTGACAGAGAGTTTCTCGCCACTGAAGTGCATGGGCTAGTCAAGGGGGCCCATTTGCGTTTTGAACGTTATCCTGAGAAGGTAAGAAGTTAAATAGACTAAGACTTCTATCCCATGCAGATGATGGCACGTGCAACAAAATAATATTAAATGACAGGAGGTAAAGGCTCTTTCCATTAAATAGCTCAAAAGGAAGATTACATTCTTTTGGGTTACAGTGGTGGGCCTTGTCCCTGATCTAGTTATGAAACCAAAAGGAGACGGGAGATAAAGATTTTCATTAAATAACTCAAACAGGAAAAAATTACATTCTTTTGGGTTACAGTAATGAACTTTATCCCTGATCTACTTCTATCCTACTGCGGAGGGAAAGTCGCAAGCAATGCGGATCGACACTTCCGGAATCTCAAGGAGTGAATTCGCTGACCCTTGCTTCCCTGCCTGAACCAGAAAGAGAACCTCAAGGCAGGAGAGACATGCAGAGTGTCCGCCGGAGACACTTCATGACATTCACAAAAACTAGGTGGGTACCAACGGGTTGGGATCTAAGACCATTCCGTGGGTACCACCCGGACGTTCCTGTGAGGGTGCCCCACCGTTTTCTCTTGATGACATCCAAAAGAGACGGGACGGAACCAACGGGCTGGAACTGCAAAACATTCCCTCCGGCGGTTCCATCCGGTCATCTCTCTGGAGTCAGACCAGGAGGACGGTAGGGCATGAGGGAGAAACTCCAGGCTTATCCCCGCTTATACGGAAGGAGGGGGCGGATCTTGGAAAACCCCATCTTTCTCCTTCCGTACAGAGGTGTGCATGGTTCCCCCCATGTCGTAGTCCCCCCATTCCTCAGGCTGCTGTCCATAGGACTGCTGAGGGGAGGGAGAACCCTGGGAGGGAGGCCTCGCACCAGAGACCAGCCGGGAAGCTCCTGAATGGGGATTGCGTCTCTTCTGTGGGCGAGAAGTGCCAGGACACCCAGAAGAAACTCCAGCCCTGGCACTGTTAGGAAGCACCTTGGGACCCGGAGGGTAACTCCCCGAGACCTGTTCGGGGAAGTGAAGGTTATTCTCCTCCCTGGGCAAAGGGGAGGTTACCGATTGTTCAGAGGCAAGAGAAGGCCCAGAGGAGAGCTCAGGTGTTGGGGACCCAAGTGAAGGGAACGCCAACGAGGAAGAATCAGAAGAAGAATCAGAAATAGTAAGATCAATGAAGACAACTCTATTGGCATTATTAGCCATGTTGGTGTTGTGATTGTGATATGGAAGGGTTCAGTCTAATCCCTTAAATAGGCGAACAATCCCAAAGGGGAAGCGCAAGGGACGCGGAGTCAAAGCGCTTATCCGATTGGGAGGCAATTGCGGATTCCCGAGGAGCGCTAGGGTTCCACTGCCTGGACGTTGGGCTAAGGCGAGTTGGGCCCGATTTAATTAAAGTGGGCCAACCACTTAGTACGATGGTAAACACGGTAAAACAATGGGTTAGAGACATGGTTAAGCCCAAAGCCTAGGCGGATTAAGATTCTGCTAAGTCCGAAACTGGAATTCCAAAAGAAGAACAATCAGATTTATAGAAGAAGTCTACATGAACAAAGATACATCAAAAGTTAACAGTTTACTATCATCCAAATAAGTACAACGAAAAGAGATAAAGTCAAGGCCCCGGATCTGTACGGGAAGCTGGAGGCGAAAGAGGAAGAGGCAGCCCATAGTAGGAGATGAAGTCGTCCAAGGTACGGGACTCCGGAAGACCACTCTGGACTGCTCCGTAAATGCACTGCTGCATGTCGAATTGACCTTCTTCGTAAAGGGCTTGAGCCCGGGCAATCAGGGTGGCCACCTCCTCTTTATGAGCAGCAATGGTCTTCTCCTGTTCGTCTACCTTTGCCCGGAGTTCATTTGCAGCCTGCCTCTCTCCCTTCAACTTCTCGAGGTCAAGCCGTCTGGCCTCCATGTGTCTCAATGCCATCTCATTGATGCGTGAGCCTTCATACTTGGCCTCTTGGAGGGATTTCTCCAGCCCAGAGATCCGGGATTCCTTCTCCACCAGCTCAGCTTGCAGGCTCATTACCAGGTCTTCTGAAGTTGAGACTCTTGATTCCAGGCTGGAAATTTGAGTCCGGAACCTGTCGAACTGCACTTCCAGATCCAAGGTCTCTTTTTGGTAGTTGGCAATCTGGTCTTGCAGGGACTGGACCTTAGATTTCTCAGCTGCAAGCTCCGTGGAGCCATCTGCCTGAAGCCGGGCATTCTCCCCTTGCAAGACCTGGACTTGTTTTTCCAGGGAATCAACCTTTTGTTGTAGGGCCCTGGCGGCCAGCTCCCTTTCCCTCAGGAGCATTACAGCCCGGAAGTTCCCTGATGCTCCACCCAAGTACTCCTCAGTCAAAGTAAGGAGCGATTGATGAGCCTGAAAGAAGGGAAGGGAAATTAAGGAGAAGGACTAACCCGGGAAAGGCAGAGAAATCAATAAAAAGGAAAGGTACCTGTTCCATGAGGTGCAAGGCGTTGAGGGCGAGCAGGTCAGGGCGAGCATGAGGAGTTAGCGGTTCCTGCGCTAATTCCTGCATTCTTGCTAGATTCCCCTGGATAGTCCCATGGGAAGCTTGCAGGGATCTCAAACCACGGGAGAAGCCTTCCCAACCCTCCGCAAAAGCTGAATAGGTCCGCGGTGTGAATCTGCACCGGATGGGGAGGTTGACAGCTGGGGGGGGGGTAGCAGAAGGATGTCTTCCTTCCGGCTCTCGCTGCTCCTCCTGAGTCTGTTGTACCTCAGTTTCATTCCTCACTTCTGGGGAAGCTTCGGCATCCCTCTGCTCCCTAGCCTCATTCTCTTCCGGAGGGGAGACCACCGCTTCTGTTTGCATTTCCACTTCCGCTGTGGGGGAAGACTCTGGTTCATTCTGCTTCATCCCTTCATTCTCCATTGTTTGGGGGCTGGTTGCGGCGTGTGGCGAAGAACCAGGTGTCCCAGGCTGGGACTGCACTACGGGTTTCAGGAGTGCAGACTGGTCCCTAGGCTCTTCTTCTTCATGATCGAGTTTATCTGGGTGGGACAACTCCAAAACCACGGATGTAGCGGCGGGAGTAGAATTCTGGGTACCGGAAGAATGGGACAGGGGGCTGGGCGAAACAGAAGTACCGTCACCTTTGTTCCTTTTTGGAAGGAAATCATCGTCCGAGAGTCCCTCCCGCGGCCGTTTCTGGGACGGAGTGGGCCTCCTGAGCCCAGGGATGGCAGAGATGGGGATGGCATTCAGAGCAGCATTCGGATTGCGTACAACTAGGGTAGTGGAGCCGCCCTGAGTTTGATTTCCGGAAGAGCTCACAGCCGGGATAGATTCTGCGGAGGAAGACACCTTTGATTTCCCGGGAGAAGGCATTCCCTTAAAGGGAATGGGGTCAGGACCCAGGGGGTAATAGAAACCTGCCTTCTTGTACAACTCAACTTCCTGGAGGGAGTGGTGGGGAATTAAACCTTCTTTCCCCCTTAAGGCGTTGTACACTCCCGCCACCGAATCTGCTGAAGCAAACTTTGTCCGGGAAATGGAACGGCGGAGGACAGCGCCCGGCAGGTCGATGGGGCTATGAACCGGAAACTCAATGACGAAATATTTCAATGCCCACCTGTCGATCTTGAGTTCAACCCTCTCGAAAACAGGGAAATTGGTATGAGGGTATAGGCTGTAAAAGGGGAACCCCCCAATACTGAAGAGCAAAAGGAACTCCTCCAGGTTAGGGTTCCTGTCTAGGGCGCAACACCTCAAGATGAAAGAAGCAACATACTTGTGGGCTTTGGCGGTCAATTGACCCGGAGCAAACCCAAAACGGAGGCAGAGGTCGTGGAGCAGACCATGGAGGGGTAACCTGAATCAATTCTCTACGGAGTGGTAATGCATGACCATATATTTTTGGGGATTCGGATTGTGAGATAAACTGATTCCACCAACGGCATTGGGATGGTGGACCCGGAAGCCTTTTCCCAGGAGCACGGCCATCTCTTGAAGCTCGTCCTCCTTGATAATGGAGGGTTCATGGATCCAAGTTTCAGGATTTACAGGGGCCATTTCGGAAAGAGGAACAAGGATTTTGAGGAAAATGGCAGTCGGAATTCGGGTCGGGTTGAGATCCAGCAGCGATATGAAGAAGACGAGGCCAGAAGTGGGTTTTATCCGTTGAAAGGTGGACCCAAGGCACTCGAGTGCGACGTTTCTAATCCGACACGAAGATCGAAGGCGGCTCATCATTAGTTTTCTAGCGACACGTCGCCAGAAAACTAGGGGGCTTGTGATGGATATCGGGTCTAGTAGACCCGACTCCAGGCCCAACTAACAGCTCAAAACGGCCCAAGAGGAATAAAATCAGATAGAATGACGGGCTAAGCCCAGTATCCCGCATTGATGAATGGAAGGAGACGGGGGTTTGCACTCCTCCTGGTTTCACTGAGTCAGGTTTCCTTCTCACCCTGCGCACCGGGTGTTGGAGTTCAACACCCGCTTTACCCTTCTCATGCTCTGGCCTTTCGCCCCCTTACACAACCCCACGATCTCCATAATCTATTTCTATTTTTTGTGTAATTATAATTACAATATTAAAAGTACTATAAATAGGGGGGAACCAAAGAATATTATTGTGTGATTATATTTCCAAGTCACAACAAGACAATTCAACCAAAGAATATTATTGTGTGATTATATTTCCTTAATTCATATTTCGTTCTTGGTCCGCCATCTGATCGGGTTAATCCCATCACATTCAATGTAGTTCCTTTTGTTGAAATAAGACTTTGTGTTTGAACAAAAGGGCTTATAAAACTTTACTTCCCTTTTGGGACTAAGAGCACACGGTATACCTATCACGCCCACCGGCGTTACGGGGCGTTTAACGCCCCGGGGGCGTGAAACACCGCCCCCCGCCGGCGTGAAACGGGCGTGAGGGCGGCTGCGTCATTCCTTTGACGCGGCGTGAAACGGTAATACTCCCTCCTAACGGTTAAAATAGCCGTTGCACCCCAAAAATAAAAAATAAAAAAAAAATTCCTATAAATTCCACCCTCCCTAACCAATCTCTCACACCTTATCTCCAATCTCTTCTTCTTTCTTATTTTTAAATTTCAAAATTCAAATCTCTCCTCCCAATTTTCAACATGAATCCTTCTGGCTCCGGCTTCGATCCCGACAATCTCCCCCGAGTGACGCCGCGATGTGGTTCTACCAAGAGTGGGGCGATCGACCGCCGATATACGAGACGCAACAATCGGGGTACGTCGACCGAGATTCGGTTCCGGAGACTCAACCGGAACCGTCCGGATCGAAAAAAAGTACACGCCGGAGGAGCCACAAAGCCAAAGGCACGTTAAGTATAGTCAATTATTTTGGTTAGTGCTAAACCATTTGATGGACACAGCTTCTACCACCAAATTTGAACACGTTGTCTTGACACAAATTGGTAGCAGTTTATCTAATTATCTTTGATTCATCCCCCCTTTTCACCTCAAACCTCAGGTAAGAATTATGTTAACAACATGATAAAGCCTCACAGAACCTAATTCATCACAGCTAGTATTTACTTTTAATCTCTTTAAAAGTAAATGTTTGAAGCCCTGAGTATTTCCACTGCTCTAAAAATTAAGCACTCCCTTCAATACGATCGATCAAATATTATTTCAACATTACTAGTCAGCTCGATGTTTATTATTAGTACATATAATAACACAATTAATGATGTAAAATATGATAAAATTAAAGGGTATATATATATGATATATCCAGTAGTGGAGCGATCGAGCTTAGTTTACGTGCCACGTTTTACTTTAAACACAGGCGAGTTATTGTCGGGGGATGGTACGATGACAATTTTATGAAGTTTGGCCTCTTTGCCCAATTCCCTCCGCATGAATGAAATGACCTCCTCTGCATCTATTGTCTCCCCAGGAAATGCTTGTATAATTAGCCTATTATTTGCGTAATCCCTTCTCACTTCCCTCAATCCTGCATTCACACACACACACACACCCCCACATAGACACCCACATATATATATATATATATATATATATATATATATATTAATTCAATTTGTTTTTTTGCAAATATGTACTTAATTTTAATGAAAAAAAATATTCCGTACCCTCCATCCCCTATACATTTGAGAAGATCTACGCGGATGGAGTGAGTAATAATTAAAGTTATAATGTTCTGTATATGTGTTGATTATAAGAGTATAATAAACATGAACTTATTAGTTATCACTAAAAGGAATGTAGATCCATGAACAGAGGTGTTATACAACCCCGAGATCCCGTATATGCGAGGGGTATCCCATTTTTACGAGCACATTCTCAGAGATAATTATTGTGATTGTTTGACTACTTTTTTTTAGCGAAACTACTCCTTCTGTTCCAAATTAATTCACCTTATTTGTTGGGTCGTCGCAAATTAATCTTTCTTTCCTTATTTGGGAAGCTATTAGGGGCTCATCTTTTTTTCTCCTATGAATTACATTCAACTACACAATTTCATTTTTTTAAACTTCGTGCAACATGCAATGTAATCTTTCTAACTTGTCTAGTTTGTTTGTGTTCCAAATGTTTATTGAAAAAAATACTTTTAATATATTCGTCAAAATTTCTTTTACAAATATAGTTTAAGAAATATTATTGGAAAACATTTAACTCAAAAAAATCACACTTTGACCAAAAAAACAAACTAGAATAGAGAGATACCATTGAAGTATCTAAAAAGGAGGGTGGACATGTCTTTGCAACCATTGCACTCGCAGAATTTGACGTCAAACTCCATCGATTGCATTGTCACGGTGTCACACACCCACATACGCAGTATGATCGATTAATAACTAACTCTATTAATTGCTCTGTAAATTATAAAAAAAAAGTAATTTTTTCCCTGAAAAAAATATAAGCAATTTTAATTTTTTTTTGTGGGCAACTTGAAACAAATGGTTTTTTGTTAAGACTTGAGAGATATTTCGTAGCAATCTACGTTCAATTCTAAACCATATATATACACACACATATATTCATGCATGTGTGCATATCACAAGCCATTAATTAATAACTCTTTCATGCATGTTTCTTTAAATGCTATAGAGTCTATGATAATGCAATATCTATTTATAAATTTTTTAATTTAATGATGCATAAATAGTCAATGCTATCATCTATATAATGTTCGAACTTGAGTAAATTTTCTCTTGAATCTTGAGAAGTGAGCTCGTATATACGATTAACAACACAAAAATGTCATTTTCAAAATTTCAAGCTACATCAATTAATGGAAAAAGCATGACTATGTTACAAATATTTTTACCATTTAGGAGTATGTTATATATATTTTCACGTGTGCATTATTTATAATGAATAGATTTTATTATTAGTCTCTAATTGCAGGTACGTTTCAATATTTATTCTTCAATATACATACAAATTAAATTTCTTTGTTTTCTTTTTGTGTTAGCCGAAATTGGTTTGCATCACCCCGGAGTATAATTCAATTTTTTTCTTTGATTTTTGACAAAGTCAAACTAGAAGATTCAATTTGGGATGTAGAAATTTTTTTAAAATTGGAAATTAAAGACCATTTATTGAATTACTATTTAAAAATATACAAACATTTTTCTTAAAAATATTTTGGTATACTTCTAGTATTTTTCTTAAAAATTTACAAGCATAATTTTATATTAGATGAAACCCGGCCCAAAAGCAATTAGACGATTTAAAATACCCATTACTTACTTTTCACTACATAAATTCAACGAGTCTCCTAATTTTAACCACCAACCAATTTATCAAGGGACCGTTTGCCAATGCCATATATTTAAGGTTTTTAAACACTTAAAAAACACTATCTAATAATAAAATTCTGTTTAAATTTAGTATTTTCAAGATTAATATGCCATTGAAATACTATATTACTCTATATGGAGTATAAAACGATACAAAGACTATGGGGGTGTTTGTTTTTTCTGCAGGAAAAGGTCTGCAGTCTGCGGACCACTACTGTAGACATCTGCAGGAGAAGTGGTGGACCGAAGGTCTGCGGTCTGCAAAAATAAGACTGTTTGTTTTTTAATGTCTGTAGATTACTATATAAATTAATGGTGGTAGTGTATGGACAATTGTGGTGTTGGTGGAGGGTGGTGGTGAAGGGTGGTGGTAGACGTTGACGGCGGTGGTGGTGGACGGTGGTGGTGGTGGCGGTGGATGGTGGCGGTGGTGGTGGACGACAAGGTGATGGACGGTGACGGTGATGGTGGACGGTGGTAGTTGTGGACGGTGGCGGTGGACGGTGGTGGTGGTGGAGAGAAGTAGAAAAAAATGGAAAAAATGTTAGAAGATGTTAGAAGACATTGGTTAATGTCTTCTCCAAGAAGATGTCAGGAAGACCTTTTTGAGTGAAATGTCTTCCAAAAAACAAACAATTTGCAGAGCCCAACATCTGCGCGCGTCTGCGAGACAAAATACACCAGAAGATCTTGTGGCAGAAAAATAAACACCCCTATGTTTTCATTACCTAATTTGATTTATTAGGATATAAATAATTCGAACTAATTTGTATCGCGTTACAGATTACAGCTTCTAGAAACAAACTAATAAAAATAAAAATTAGAATAAAGGTAAAAGTCGCCTTAGTTGACCGTTGACGAGATTTCCCTCTTCACTGCGCCGTAACTCAATTATGCAAAGGGGTAAAATCTATAATATGAAATTCAAAACTAACCCATTTCGTCAAAATCAAAACCTGGATCGGGTACCGACGATTATATTCGCCGGGATTTAAGAAAGAAGAAGAGAAAATGCTGACCGCCGACGGAGAAAACGGCGTCGCCGCCCATCCAAAGTTGCTACCGAAGCGCATAATCCTAATTCGGCACGGCGAGAGCCAGGGGAACAAGGACGACGCCGCGTACACAGTGACCCCAGACTACAAGATCCCGCTGACGGCGGAGGGAATCGAGCAGGGGAGGCGGGCCGGGTCGCGGATCCGGCGAGTTCTCTCGGGCGGAGGCGGGGACTGGAGCGTGTACTTCTACGTGTCACCGTACGAGCGGACGCGGTCGACTCTGCGGGAGATGGGCCGGGCCTTTCCTCGGAAACGGGTCATCGGGGTGAGGGAGGAGTGCCGGATCCGGGAGCAGGACTTCGGGAACTTTCAGGTGACGGAGAGGATGAAGGTGATCAAGGAGACGAGGGAGAAGTTCGGGCGCTTCTTCTACCGATTCCCGGAAGGCGAATCGGCCGCCGACGTTTTCGATCGCGTCTCAAGTCAGTCAATTTTCCCCATTTTCTCCTTATTAATTCTTCTGCTCCCCTGCTTTCACTCTCAAAGTAACGGTTTCCCATAGTCTAATCTTTAACAAATACGGAGTATTTTTTAAAAATATCTTAGAAAAACAATTGGTAAAGAAAAACAGTTGTTAAAAGAAATATACTCCGTATAGTTTTGAGTGAATGAATATGATGCAGGCTTCTTTGAATCGCTATGGAGGGACATAGACATGCAGAGGCTGCAGGGAGCGGAGCAGCAGCAGGACCCAATGGCGGGGGCGGCGGGGGAGTTGAATCTGGTGATGGTGTCCCACGGGCTGGCGCTGCGGGTGTTCATGATGAAGTGGTTCAAGTGGACGGTGGAGCAGTTCGAGCGGCTGAACAACCTCGGCAACTGCGAGTTCCGGGTCATGCAGCTCGGCAGCGGGGGCGACTACAGCCTCGCCGTGCACCACTCCCCGGAAGAGATGCGCGCCTGGGGACTCTCCCCCGAGATGATCCAAGACCAGACGTGGCGTGCTTCTGCCCCCAGAGGCTCTTGGAATGAGAAATGTCCCTGGTACCTTGATGCCTTTTTCGACACCCATCATGCTCCAGAAGAACAATTCCAAGATGATGGTGATGATGATGAAGAAGATGAACAATTAGATGCTTGATTGAGATGATTTAAGTAACTAGAATTTTTATTATGATTATTATTTATTGTTATCATTATTAATCCATACATTATTATATTTTGATAAGCCGCTATATCTATGTATCAAATACATATGGTCCAACTGTTTTGTTGTAATTAAATGTATTCTTGGATCAGAGTTTTTGTTGACTAAGCGTATGCCTTGTGCGTTTTCTTCTTAAATTGATGATAGAAATTTTTAGCAATTGTTTGTTTATATATAAGGGTATATATACGAGATAAAATCTCACGTTTTGCAAAATTAGTTTATATAAAAATTACAGTATTATAATAAGAATAATTAATAAAAAGAATATTTATTTTATTTTATCAAAAGTTTAATAAAAACATAAAATATGATAAGAATATTTATTTTATTTTATCAAAATTTTAATAAAAATATACAAACAAACAAATGTTATCATTCTATGAGTTTATGATATGTCTTCAAGTGTTTCTATGGTATACCTTGGCTACATATCATTTTTATCTTTTTCACATAAATAACATTATTTTATTTTAAAAAAGTTTATTATCTTATACATATATAGGTATATAGTGGATCTAACATCCACGGTCTTTATTCTTTTCAATTTATTTTTATTCAATTAAAATTAAAAATATAGTCAGATTTTAATTAATTTGGACCAAAACTAATTATTTAGATTTTTTTCAATAATCTAATCGTATTTTCTAATTTCTAACCATAAAAAAATGATAACATAATTATTAATTAAAATAGTCATTCATTCTTAAGAATTTTCTTTTATTTGACGTTTCCTTCGTCTGGGAGGAGCTGAGCATCAATGGCAGACAAGGAAGAAGAGGCGACCCTTGAGGAGGAGCTGGAGCTTCAACTACGTGAACAGAATGACTCCCTTCGCGACCTCACCGAAGCTCTCTCTTCTGATCCTTCTAATCTCGAACTCATTTCGGTTCGCATCTTTTCTCTAGACATCTCCCACCCCACCCCACCCCAACTAGGGTTTTGTTTCTTAAATTGCTTGCACGGAGACCCCATTTTTTTTGTTTCTTCTGAAATTTGTCTCGGTTCAATCTCGAATTCTTGCATTTGCTTGTCTGAATTTGTGACTTAATATATTCTTTGAGCCAACACAAGGATGGTTAAAGCAAGTTTTCGTTTTAAATTGGGCTCCTTTTGAATAATTTGATGTTGCGCAGAAACCAGAATTGACTTAACATTGCAACAACACGTTTCCCTTTTCGTTGAGCCTTGAGGAATTAGGAATATGGCAGAGTTCATATGAACTCAGCCTAGGGACTATCATTGGGTATTGTGACGCCAATCGTGTAATAAAATTGTATGGGCTTGTTAGGTGCATCGACGAAACGTGAATGAAATGGCTCTGTGGAAGATGAAATCTTAACATGTGTTGACAGTTTTACAACTTGATATACTAGCACTTAATTGTATTGAACATCGATCGTTCTTCTCCTCAAATAGGAATGCCCTATAAATATATTGATTTTTTTAAAACAAATGTATATAATATACTGGAAATATAAGCATAACATTGAAACATCTGTGTACTATATATGCATTGGGCTCCAGGTGGAGCACCCAACTGAATTGAGTTCTAGTTCTGAACATTGGATTCCTATAATACTAAGTTCTTATTTGTTTTTATTCGTATATGGTATCATAAATACACATCAAAAACTCCTTTTTTATGATGTATATATATATATTTTCCACACAACTTATATGACAAAAAGGTGGGCCTGGGGCAATTGGTGGAGTCGCCCTTTTCACTGTGTCATGGGTCATGGAGGCATAAGGTTGAACCCACCTCCTTCACTCATATCTTCCCTTCTCAGACCCCCAATGTGTGTGAGTTTTGGCGTTGGTGCACCCCACCCTTTATAACATAACTGTTGACATGTGTAGACTTTTCATTATTCCTAACGAAAGTGCATTTTAGCATTACCGTTTCTGCTACTTTTTGCATGCTTTATAAATGATTTGACTTAATCCGATATATCAGGTTCAAGAAGAGCTTATACAGTCTGTTAAAGAAGTGGAGGAAGGGCTTCTTCACTTGAAACAGGCAAGATTACTTAGAGAAGTAAATGCTTCTATAAAATGTTCCAAAAGTTTTTCGGAGGATGCCGTGGTTGAGTCTCTTGATACGAAAGATGCTGAAGCGCTTTCAGATGTCGGTCAACATGACTTAAATGATGAAGTAGAACTACTCGTGGATCAAAAGTATTCTACCGGATCTAAATGTAGGTTCCGCTTTACTGATGGGCGGTGGTATAATGGCCTGATTGTTCAGTTGGAGGGTTCTCATTCTGCTTTAGTTTCATTCCTGACTCCTACATCTGAAAGCATGCTGGTGGGTACAGTTTCCCCTTCTGTGGTGTATTTTGTTCTGCCTTTTTTTTGTTTTATAAACATGTGCAAGTGGCATGGCCTTACCCCATTGATCTTTCATTTTGTACTTATTGATGATATGTTAGGTTTCTGGTATACTCCTAATTTTTCCCCACTTCAGATAGACAATTTTATGCAGATTTGGGTCTATTTTACTGAAAAAAGATTGGACTTCTGATATATGCAAGCGATTTCATACAATAAGAGTGCTGGACTTTTGGTTTTAGGTTGGTTCTGACATGCTTAACATGAGCACATGATATGATGTGACATGTGCCTTAAAATTAGTTTAAGATTAGATTATACGGAGTATTTTGATAGCATCTTAATGTGACCTTTCCCCCAAACAAAAAGAAAACAGTTTATCACTATGACCCATTCACCCTTTTACATGCACAAATACGGAGTATATAGCTTTACTTAATTGTCCAACATAGTTTGTAAGGCGTCACCTAGGCGATAAGGCGTTGTCACTTGGACGCCTTGTCTGCTTGCCTCACCTAGAAAACGTTAAGGCGGTCAGGCGCTTGCCTAGGCTTCACCTTTCCTCACCTAACCTAGCCTTGACGCCTTGGGCCCCTTTAAAATTTTGAAAACCCCATTTTTTAGTGCAGCCCATTTGAAAATATTTGACTTAAACTTATCTTCTCTCTCTCTCTCTCTCTCTCTCTCTCGATCAAGCTTCCTTAAAATGTATAAGACACACACACACACACACATATTATCACATGAACTTGGGGTATATAATCATATAATATAATTACAATATGGTTAATGCACTAGGGTGTTCTTTTATGTTGAAACTTAAAAATAGAATTTGTTTTAAATTTTGGATTCTCGTTTGAAGATTCCATCATCTCCGATGGAGGCTAAGATTCATTATCTTTTGGATTTGGGGTATGATTGAATAAAGCAAAATGGCTCTTTAAACTATCTACGTTTTTTAATAGTGAAGTAGCAGAGTCAGTGCAACTTTCAACGTTCATCATGGGTCATCCGCAAACAGCCATTCCATGTTTTAAGCGTAGGTTTAAGGCTGCGTACATAATTACCCGTGGTGCTTGAGCCGGGGGGTCTCTATGAGTCTGTGGTAACGACCTCTTTACTTTCAAGTAGGGAAATGTTTGCTTAACACACCCTCCCCTAGACCTTACTTTTGTGGGATTCAAATGGATTGTTGTTGTTGTATTCTTGTTTGAAGATGGTGACAAGCTGATTGTTGAATTTGTAAATTGAACTACACAATATATTTATTTTTCTTTTTTTTAATTACTCGTATTTCTTTTTTAGGTAGTTGTGAGGTCACAACATATTTCGTATTACCTCATTTCACATCGCCTAGAACACTTCTATTTTTAAAATGCACCTTTTTGATGGAGTTTGTTTGGATATTTTTATGTTTTCCCCTTTGTCAGCCTTTATTTTTTTGTCTGTTGTCCATTTTTTGCAGAGGTCCTTCAGAAACCTCTCTATCTATTATAGGTAGGGGATGTAGGGGTAAGGGGCTGGGTAGGTTGTTGTTGCCATTGCTTTCCTATGATGTTCTTACTTCTGATCTTATATATTCTTCTACACAGTATTTGATGAACATTTTTTTTGCCCTAGACTATTAAATACTTCATCATGAGGGTATTCTCTTTTCTTATTGAAGGGTGACATCCATTTGTCATTGGAAAATAAACAATCAGGATTGGTCAGAGGGCAGCCCCACCCTATACAAGATTATGCATGCCAGACATTGGCTGACATATATTTTTATTTTACTGTATAAAATACTCAATAGTTTAGTAACATCAGCATACTAACAATAGACCACCGAAGTGCAGATGTGCCAGTTCTTTCTACAGAAGCGTTGTCGGTTTGGTAGTAGTTGCCGCTTATCACATGGTATGTTGGAATGCCAAGTAATACTGTTGAGAATTTCACTTAGCTGTTTAAGAAGATATTGACTGCACATAATTGTGTTTCAGTGTACTTGGGAATGGAAAATATGGTAAGACATGAAGTAAGCAACAAAAAAGGAAATCTGGGGAGTGAAATGTCTAGTGTAGACTTNCTGTATAAAATACTCAATAGTTTAGTAACATCAGCATACTAACAATAGACCACCGAAGTGCAGATGTGCCAGTTCTTTCTACAGAAGCGTTGTCGGTTTGGTAGTAGTTGCCGCTTATCACATGGTATGTTGGAATGCCAAGTAATACTGTTGAGAATTTCACTTAGCTGTTTAAGAAGATATTGACTGCACATAATTGTGTTTCAGTGTACTTGGGAATGGAAAATATGGTAAGACATGAAGTAAGCAACAAAAAAGGAAATCTGGGGAGTGAAATGTCTAGTGTAGACTTCTCTCTTTTTGCATTCATAGAATATACTGTTCAAGTGATGTACCCAAAGGTTCACCAGTTACTACTCATGTGTGTATGCCAGTTGAGTGTGGTGAGGGGTATACACATAGGAGACTTTAACAGGAGCTTGGATGCAAACTGTGATGTTGGGAACAGAGGGAATTGCTCAACTGCTAGGTTAGGTTAAATACTTGAGGATGGTATTTTTAAATTTCATTATTAAAAAGGTCTGCCTACTTAGGGAGGGCTCAAAGATAGATCCCACTACAAGGATGTAATTTAGGCAAACGCAACCCTCTATTTTTCAAGAAGCTGCACTTATATTAATTTTTTGAATTTTTTAAATATATTTATATCCATATATTTTAATCCCTTACCCCGCATTGGGTGAGAGCCTTTGAGGCACTGGGAATTGTTGTTCTTATTTACTCCGTATTAATATGTGTTAATCTTTACATGATAGACAAATAAAAAAATGAATATGGAGAAACATCTAACTTTGGTTTTTTTTGAGAGAGAGTGTGTGTGTGCACCAGCTCATCATTGTGCCATGATAATTTCCATGCATGTTGTAATGATCTGTGATTATGGCAGCTTTAGAATTTTCATATCATTTTCCATACTCATGAAGGTTGTGACACAAAGGACATCATCATGTCATGATACTTTTGTTTTTATATACAATTCATTCAATGCTACTACCAACCCCAGCTAGTTCAGGCTAAAGGCGCTGATAATGATGATGGTTAATGGTTGAAGAGGATAATAGGAGCTCCCGGTAAACTTAGGAACAGAGGGAATATTTGTACTTTAGTTTCATCGTCTGTGCATACATTAAGTTGTGGCATAAATTCCTGTGTTCTTGTATCATTTCTTGCTATCAAAACATATTAATGAACTGCTGATAAGTACTCATAGTTACATTTTAATGTATTGATCCCTGATGTGCATAATTTTAATGGTAGAGGATTTTCGTCTCCCTCAGGTATCGATGTCCCAATATCTTCCTTAAAGAAGTTTGTTCCTACAGTATGGGGTCCGTCTATGGTAGGGTACAGTATCTGGGCTCTGGAAGAGGGCAAGAATGGGCTTTGGAGAGAAGCTGAATTGGAGTCGTGGGATGAGAATCTCAAGCTTGGCCATGTCGTATTCCGGGACACGGGAAAATCCTCTAAACTTGGAACTGAAGCAATTACCCTTTCGGAGCATGCAGAGTTGAGCGATGAAGATGAAGAGACTTCCTCTGATTCCACTAGTAGCGACTATGATCAGGAGGATGTGGATTCAGCAGCTCTTCCACAAGGGCTGGGGTTTCTAGAGAGTACGAACCAGCAAAGTGGGATCCAGACAGAAGTCACACTTTTTGCCAAGTGGGAGAATCACACGCGCGGTGTGGCTTCTAAGATGATGGCGAACATGGGATACCAGGAAGGAATGGGCTTAGGCTCTGCTGGACAGGGGATGCTGGATCCCATCTCTGTGAGAGTTCTACCTTCAAAACAATCCCTTGACCATGCCTTTGAAGCCCAGAGAAACGAACAAGTCAATGGTATGTTTCCATCTTGCAAGTAGAGTCGTTTACCCGTTTTAACCCTTGCAAATTTCCTCCATGTTTTGCGGGATCCATGCAGGACCTAAAAAGGGGAAGAAACGGAGTAGGGGCGGGAAGAGGAAACGGGAAAAGAAATACGCAGAAGCAGCAAGAGCAGCGAGAGAGGAAGGATCAAAATCTGACATGTTTGCACTCATCAATTCCCAGCTTTCTGTTCACGCTGAGATTCTGAGAGGGACGAAGAAGCACATGACGACCAACAATAATAATAGCAATGGTAAGGAGAAGGGTGGGGAGGAGGGGAAGAGAGAAGGAGGGAGGCGAGGCCTGCTGGCTTACGAGGACGAGATAAAGGAGCTGAAGATGCGGGCAGAGAAACTGGAGGAGATGGCCAATAGGAACCGGAGGGAGAAGGCGGTTTACGATGCTGTGATGAGGAAACTCAATGAGACTCGGAGTGCTTTGGCGGATGCCGAAGCTGCCCGCACTTGTGCTTCCACCCAACTTCTCACCAAGGAAAAGGAGAAGAGATGGCTCAAGTTCTGAACAACAACAAGAAGAAGAAGACGAATACAGCACCTAATCTTCTTTCTCCGGCTCTTCAATATGTTCGAATTTCTTGGCTTGTATGGGTACGGAGTAATATTTATATACCCAAATGTGTTTTATTTTAGCAAAGTTAAATGTGTGTTTCTCCTTTTGCTACTTGCCCCCTCTCTTGATATTTTCTCTTTGATGGGTCACCAGACTTGGGTCCTTGTTTCAATAGGAGCTCAGAGTTTGTAGCCTAAAGCCTGAGATTTGCAACTTAGAACTTTGAAAGGTGTAACCAAATTTTACCCTAAAATTTTAAGTGTTTTTACGTTCACAAGGAACATTCAAATTTCAAACCAAATTGCTCGTTATATAAAAGTCTTGCCTAAATTTTTGCCACATGCTTCTAGACTTCCTACATATAAAAAAGGGAGATTTGGCCAAAATTTGAGAGCTTTTGACCCATATAAAATTGGCCAAAAATGCTCTTAAGGGATCAATTTAAAAATTTCAAATGAGGGTTCTTCTCTATGAAGGGTAACACATGAATTAGAAGGTAAAAATAGCATCACAAAAACTCGATGTTAAGATTTTTGAAAGTGAAATAACACACTTCAGAATTTAAAAGATTTTAAATTTCAGGTTTGAAATTTTTGTAGGAGAAGGTTCAGATATTAGAAACATTATTCCAAGCTCCTATGGGTAGTGTAGAACAATAGAATTGGGAACAAAAAAATGGAATTAAACCAAAAGTTTGAACTTTGATGCCGTCGATTAAATGGTTGAAAAAATTGATGGTGCCTTCGAAAAGAGCTCTTAACTTTATTTTATTTTTTGCAACTTGGCTTAGAGAAATGCCATAGAAGTTAGAACTTAAACTTTACCACATTATGAATCATTATTCTACGAATCAATTTAAATATAATGATGTTTTTGCTAGGATCAAAATTAGCACCTTATGCCCTAGATGTGAATATAACAAAAACCAGTTCAAACACCAGGCTCACAATTTTCCAGTGTATTTCTATGGATTACGAGGATCCTATGTTCTATAGTGTAACCCTTCAATGAAAAAAATTTAGAAATATTAATGATTTGGCCAGGATCAACATTTGATTCATATGTCACAAAGACCCTACTACATTGTGTAAATACAAGTCTAGCTTAAGCATTTTACACAAGGAAAATAATGCTAGTTCACTAAACTCGAAAAAAAAACAAAACCTTCACGAGGACATCTACTTCCCCCCAACTGGTAATCAGCTCCAAACATGCCCTCCATCCATTTTCTTCTGTTTCTTCTTCTTCTTCGCCTTCCTCTCTTCCTTTCTGTCTGTCATTGCCTCAATGCGTTTCGTGTTGTGGGCGCGTATTTCTAATAATTTTGCTTTTGCGTCTTTGAAAGGTGCATCCGACTTCAAAGCCATAATTTGCTGAGATGGACAGTGAAAGTGCATCAGACTATCAAGAATCAGTATGTATGTATGTGTAGCCTAAAAACCAAAGTTATTTTGGAAACTTTGGGTTCTAGCCAATTCTTTATTTTAATTCCGACGGAAAAATGTAACCACTTCCAGTCTGGGTAAAAAATGAGCCACGTTAGCATGTCGTCATGGAAATTTAGACGCACATACTAAAGTTGTGCCAGTGTGACACCATGCTAACAAAGATTGGCTAAATTGGTGACAGTGTTTAAATAGTTGGGCAGCATCCAAATATGACATAAATAATAAGATTTCACTAGTAAATAGGCAGGCAAAACAACAACAAAAGCATCACAATGGAGCAAAAATGTGCATTGCTTCTTACCTTGAGATGATCCATTGCGGCTAGGTTGAGGCCAAGTGTATCTTTGCACTCCTGTACCAACTCAGGCATTAAGTACTTGAAGTGAACTCCTTTAACCCAATACAAATCCTTTCACTAAAGAAACAGAGCGAAAAAAAATGAAATTCCTTAAAGTTACCTTGACTTTTAGAGGGATCACATCTTTTAGAAGGGTAAGTAGAGGTCTAGCTGTAACAGTTGAAACAAGCTGGTCATGATGCAGTTGTAATAACACTGTGGTCATCCTGCAGACGAGCTCCACCTGCCCAAGCATAGGCCAAATGCAGGATAAATAATCAAATAAAGGAAACAGCATCACGCCTTATTACACTCTTTCTCCTCTCTATACATTTACTCGGACAACAACAACAAATCCAATATAATCCCAACTTCCATGTGTAAAACAGAGGTTCCCGTTAGACCTGTGATGCATTGCCGCATTTACTACCTAAAACTTCATCATTTCTGCTACTATTTACCCAAACCCTTTAATGTTTCCATTAAATTTGATTTTCCTTCATATTTTTAAGAGGCAACCCCAAACAAGATCGTAGAGAAATTGCGATCACTGTTAAGATCGGAAAATGGGTAGGATCTGGATCGCGCAGCAGGATCGTAGAAAACTAGAAGTGCTGCAATTGTCCATGATCACACAATTTTACATTGTCTTTGACAGGAAGGAAAATCACATGTTAGAAACCCTAGAGACAACTCAATATTTTTTAAATACTTTGGCTTTCGCTTCCATTTCTTCACACTCACAATTAAACCTCATATTGGAGTTTCAAACAATCTGCAAGTGCACGCCGCCTTTACACACACACACACACCATAGTTATCATGGTGCCAAGGCAAGGCACGGCCCAACGAACCCCAGGCCGCCAAGGCGACAATTAGGCGACTAGTCATAAATGATGTTTATAGTAACATTGATACAAATATAGCATAGTTCATACTATGTACTCCGCATAAGATATTGTTATTCATAGAGTACAAACTACATACTCAACATACCTAATATCCATTTGAAACAAAATAAGGTACACAAATTTATTAATTCTACTTTTAGATCCATAGTTCATACCCTTCTTTAACAGAAATAGTTGTAATAAAAATTGAATAGTAATTATTAAAAATATTAATTAATTACTCAATTTAGGAATAAAGAAAAAAGATGAAATAAGCAAGGAGTTAGGGTAAAGACAAGAAATTATAGAGAGAGAGAGAGAAGATATCAGTCTATCACTTTTTGAAATTTAAAAAAAAGGCAAAAATAAAAATACTCTTACATAGTATCCGGAGTTTCAATTCAAAAATATAAAAAGGAAAACGGTTGGCGGCTGAAAGCTAGAGTTACTGCTAGGTCAAACGAGTCTGGGTTTTCTAGCTTAGGGTTAGTCGCCTCCTATGCCTCACTCCTTGTCAGCCTTTCTGATGCCTTTGGTGTCTCGAGGACTTTTCGATGCCGGATGATGCCAAAAAAGGACATGGTGAGGCGAACTCACATGGCGAGCATCATCCAACGCCTAGACACCTAGTCGGCGATGCTGTGATATCAGAGATACACGCACATATTTTTTAGGGAAACACACACATGTATATATAGGTGTATGTGTACTGTGTAGGATCTTACGATCCATGTCACGATCTTACGACTTACAATCTTTACTTCGTAGATCGATCATACGCAGAATCTCACATTTGACTACCTTGTTTGTAACTAAATGAAAAATACACGAGATAAAGAGATTTAGATTCATATGTAGTAATCATGCAATGATACCCCTACAAAACTAGGGTTATGATATGCATCAAAATGAAGCAAAATCCTATGCATCTGGTTGCACAGGAATGAATGGCATGTGATAGTCCGTCCAAAGAGGTACATCAATTGACCTATGATGATGGATGAAGGAATTGTAACAATGCATATAAAGATTTAATATGACCCTTAGGCCTTAACCCAGAAACTATAAATATACCTTCTCAGGTAAATGAACCCAATCCCTCAAGTAAGCCAAAAGCTTCAGGGCATCAGAGAATGGTAGTGCCTGCAAAATGTTAGTTTTGTTTAGAAAGCAAATACTTTTGCCCCCTTAAGAAATTCCAAAACTAAGCACACACTAAGAAGGGAGATAATGGCTTGATTTATCATAAGATACAATATTGTACTTTCTCCATCCCATTAAAATATTCCCATTTTGACTTTTAGGAAATTTAAGGGAGTGATATTTTTGTGTTGACTTTCCAAAAGTACCCTTGATATGATAGGTAAAAGTAAGATGTGATGATCAAATTATTAGTAAAAAGGTATGATGTGATATGGAGGTTAAGAATTAGTAGGGCTAAAAGTGGTTTTTTAGTAGAAAAGGGAAGGATCTTGTGGGACAAGAAAAAAAAAGAAAGGGGAAGAAGTTTTTGGGACAGAGGGAGTATACGAACATCTCTTCACATAATTATGGTTTACATGTCAAATAATTGAATACCATGAATCGAAAACTATAACATTTCCAATAAAAAGGTTTCAGCATGAAAGGTATTAAAAAGAATCAGTTAATCAGAGTTGAATATGTCACTGATAAAACAATTACTCCATGCTTATAAATAGAAAATTGCACTTCAAAATACAACTATAATCTGACTTGCTTACCAGTAGTGTTTGCTCCAAATCATTTGTGTGGACATTTGAAACGGCACGAAGAACGAAAGAAGACGGAGATAGCCCCAACATCAGGATATTTGGCCGAAAATCAACAACTCTGCCTTTGGATTTCTCTTCCTATAAGTTGACAAAAATGTCTCAGATCAAGTCAAATAAATGTAAAGCAATTACTAAAAATAAAACTACAGAAGAACAGCAATATGGCATTAGAGTTGTAACTTGTAAGCAGACCAAGCCATCCATGAAGCTTTTCGTCCTTGGTATAAGCTTCATGGATGAGCCAAACATAAGCTTAGTACTCTTTGAGATAAATATGTTTGTTAATCAATTTGATAGTATGCGCACGAAATTGAGCTCAGTTTCTTTAATAGAGTATTTATAATTATTGAATCTTAAAAGTTAATATCTATCAACAATCCTAATATTAATGAGCTAAAGTTATATTTGTAGCAGAGATTTCAACAGCAAAATTGAATTCATTGAACCCTATCACAATTTATCAAACATTGCCCGAAATCCTTGGAAACAACATTTTGTTTGTGGTTGGAAGAGTTTTTTAGGGGTTGTATATAAAATATTTGATCTCGAAGTTGAGATAGGTTGTAAAATAAAGCTATTTTTAGTTCTTAATGAGCCCAACTCAAAGCTTGGCTTCATTATCTATAAATGAGTTCTCAATTAACCACTTTGACAGCAGCCCAAGTGTCAAGGGCTCAAGGGAGTTGTAGAGAGTCTGTAACGAGCACAATCATAAAGTAAAATTTCACAACCCAAACTTGAACCCATTACTATTTGCTTCAGTCTGCTTGCAACGTCAAACACTAGTCATTATTATAAGATGTCTATGATTTAATAATACAATTTTTTAAAAATGACCTAAGGAAGTGGGATCTAGAAATCCTTCATAATCTGTATCACACCAGATTATAAGTGTCAACACATAACAGAATGAAAAGAATTGACGTAATGAACACCGCTCACCTCATGTTCAGCAATGCGCTTAGCTTCAAATTCTGCAATGTCTAGTGCTTCAATAATGGAATCTGTTGCGGTGAGAGTTTCTTGGGTCCTCTTCCCTGCTAATGCCACGGCACCTTCTTCCGGAATCACATCTTCTTTCACTGCATATCTATTCTCTATTGCATTGTCAATGTCAGATTCAAAAATCTCCTCTAGCCGTTTTTCTTTCTCTTCCTGCATATAAAAACACCAATTTATTACTACCTACATTTGGGAAAACCCTTCCGATTTTGACCAAAGGCCAAATTACGGAAGTGTTAAATTGTAGTTGACTTCCAATTGTGCCCTTGATGTGATGAGTAAAAGTAAGATGTGATGGATAGATTATTAGATGAAAAGTATGATGTGATAGGTAGGATAAAAAAGTAGGGGTAAAAGTGTAGAAGAGAAAAAAATGAAAGAGAAAGTGTTTTGATGAACGGAGGGAGTATATTTTAGATCATTAATTGGCATGGAATAAGAAGAAATCATAATGCAATACCTCAATGAAAAAAGGCTCTTCAGTACGATCCCAACGACGTATGGAACGATCATGGGAGCCTGTTACAAAAAAATCTCCACAGTTGCTGACAGCAAGGCACCATATTTCAGCATGGTGACCATCAAGTGTTAAAAGCAACTCAAACTTGTCAGCATCCCAGTATTTCACAACACGATCTTTACCCGCACTAAACACGTAATGGGTATTGTGCACAAATTTAACAGCCATGACACTGTCAGCATGAGCAAAAATAGACTTGTGACAGTCCCCAAAATCCAGACCCCATATCTTCAAATTCTTGTCAGCAGAGCCACTAACTAGCAAATCTCCATCAGATGAAATATCCATACATAAAACAGGTAGCTTGTGTCCATACAATGAAAGAAAAAATTTGAGAGAATCCATGAAATACACCTGAAAAGGTTTGAATCCACATACCACGTGAGAATTTATGTTTCGGTGAGTTTGACAATTTGAGTAAAAACAGGAACATGATTGTTCACAAATTTGCACCATTTGTAAGGAAAAAATTAAAGTAAAATTTATGCAAAAAATAAATAAATAATAAATAAATAAAAGTAAAACAGGTGTTCATTTAAAAAAAGAAACTGAATCGGACCTTGATTGTGCTATCCAAAAGTGCAGCTGCAATGTATTTACCATCAGGGCTGACAACAACAACAATAACATCATCGTCCATCTTCTTAGTCCTCACATGGGATGCAGTTATGTGCTTAGGATCCTGTGTAAATATTAAAAAATGCATAAGTTATCAGATTTAAGTTCAATTGGCACTTCCTCATTTGCTACTCTTCATCTTTTCTTTTATGTGGCTTGTGTATCTATAATCTGTAATCTAAATAACAAATGAAAAATGTATATACCTGATCAGACTTTTGTGTAAGCTGTAATTCCCAAAATTTAATGTCATGATCAGCACTCCCAGTAACAAAACCAGTTCCCTCTGGAGTTGCAGCAATTGATTGAACTGAACCACCATGAGCTTCCACCACATCAATGCAAGTACCACTCCTAACATCAATGATCTCTAAAGTTCCTCCTTTAGTACCAACAACTGCATATTTGCTGCCAGGAAAAATTAGTCCACACAATCCATATCCCGATTCTATGGTGCGTACACAAGATCCAGTACTAGTGTTCCATATTTTAGTCAGACTGTGACTTGTTGACATTAAAAGACTATTGTCTGAACTGAGAGTAACACTTCTCACATCAGAACGATGCCCTTGGAGCTCAATACTACTGCTTTTGGTGTATGTGCCACTTTCATCAATTGCATAATATTCTAATGAATTATTGTTTAAAGACAATGCCAAGGTGGCCAGTGAACCCTTAGAAGCAACTGGACTAAAAGCAATTGAGCATATTTTCTTCCCAGCTCGCAGAGTCAGTAAAAGCTTAAAAACATCAAGGGCTGTAATAACGAGATTCTGTCCTTCTTGACTGATTCCAACATTATCAGAGTCCCCATTTTCTTTCAAAGTTTTCTTTGCCTTTCTTTTGATTCTTCTTTTTGCCTTGTGTTTGGATTCAGATTCATTTAGCACACGAAATATCTCTACGGCCTTCCCAGCATGTTGACAAGCCAATAGATTTCCTGTCCGGTTAAACCTTACAGTAGCAACCCTGTCTTTGCTCTGTCTTTGAATTTCCCCAAATGGCTTCAAGACTTCCCATTTACTACGAGCAGTAGAAGCATTGTCGACAGGTTCAACTGTGTTATTTACAGATTTTTCAGCAGTGGAATCATGCACGATTGTATAAAACCGTAGCTCTGGATCTGCAGATCCAGTAACCATATATTTCTCTTCGGGGTCAACATCTATGGACCAAATTTCAGTATGATGCCCACCAATAATCTGCATGCAATGCTGTGTGTCAAGGTCCCATACTCTCAAGAACTTGTCCTTTGAAGAACTTACCAACTTTTTCCCAGAATCTAAGAAAAGAACATCTGTAACCTGTATCAAATGGAAAATTGAAACCAAAGATTCAACTACCACAAGTGCAAATGATGAAGAAGAAAAAACTACCCCTTAAAATATTTCACTCTATTAAAAAAGTTGGGGGTAAGAACCTGGTCGCGATGGCCACGAAGCCGAAACAATCCAGCCTCTGCAACTACATCCCACAAGATGATATCAGTATCTTTGCTCCCTGATGCAATAAAAGACCCAGTTTTGTTGTAACGAAGGGCAGTCACAGCCCCTTTGTGTCCATTTAAGTTGGTTTCACACGAGAATTTATCAAGATCCCATAATCTTATGCTTCCATCAGCATAACCGCTTGCAATCTGCAACAATCACCATTTATGACCACAAAATCAGAAACAAAGCATCAAATTCTAGGATCTTTTAATCAAATGCACAGCATCAAGTAGAAAGGAAAGGGTAACAGCATAAACTAGATATAACAGACCATTGCTCCTTAAAATTGTTAATTCGGAAACTAGAAACGAAAACAATATAACTACATTTGCTCAAAGCAGACTAAATAATGAGGGCATAGATTAATTAAATTGTACCGGGGAAAAATTCCAAGCATGTGACACCAAATAATAGAAATGCATTATACCACGTAAAACTATAAAAGTCTAACAAGATTAAAATAAACAGAAAAAACAGTGAAAACTAAGCATACTGAAAAAATATGAAAGAAGACTAACGAAAGATGAAGGGGAAGCAGCAATGGAGGTGACGGCAAGGGAGGGCCCTTTGGAAGACGAGGAAGGGGAAGGAGCCAAGGACTTGGTGCAGATGCCTTGGCGTGTGTGCCAAACGCCGACGCTCTCTAGTGCTGCCGCTAGCAGGTGCTTCCCGGAGCTTTCGTAGGCGATGTTTGATTCTAGGGATGCTATGACCCCAAAAGTAGCCGCCGGCTCGTAGCGGAGGTAGGCCTTCACCATCGCCGCCCGCCCTGTGTGAAGAAGAAGAAGATGATGATGATGATGATGATGAGGAAGGCGTTAATTAAAACAGAGAAGAAGACCCAAATAAAGAAAGAGATTGGGCTGAGTCTGTTCTTTAAGGAATTAAGGTTAATGTTTTAATGGGATGGGCCCAATAGTACCCTAAAGAAGCCACTCTTCTTTTCTATTGTGGCGGGGCATTCCCATTATTTTTTAATTGGGCCAACTACATTGTTCAATTTAATGTATTAAATCTAAAATTGATGTAAAATTGAAAGATAATTTTAAAAAAGTTATAAAATAAAGTCAACTCCATTGTTCAATGTAATATATAGGGTCTATTGGTATAGAATTGAAATTGAATTGGTAATTGAAATTCTATGAAATTGATTTAGATGAAATTGAATTTTTCAATTCCAATTCATTTTTGGCACTGTCAATTCTAAATTTATATATTTTTGTCCTAGCAAACAAAAGAATTGAAATTGTTTTTCCCAGATCAAACTACATAGTTTGAATCATGTGACCAAATTGAGTCATAGTGTAATAATTTGTTTCTAGTACATACAAAGGGCTCATGCTGCACATCATTGTTTTTTTACAGTTGTTGTTTGTAGTCAAATGTACTCGAAAATTGTTTCCTTTGGGGGGTTTGAGACCTGATCTGATTAGATCTCACATTAATTTGTAATAAATTAAACTTGAATTTATTACAATAATTTAATAAATTTAAAGTATTACACTTCATATAAGAGTATCTCTTAGCTTCGCATTAATTTTAATATCCTCATTCTAATATTTTTTTTCTCATTTTTAAGATTATACTAATCTTGATTACCTCATTACCACATTTTCTTCCCTTGCCGCCACACTGCCTCCCCTCCCCCGCCACTATCCCTATCACCACATTGTCATTGTTGCCGCTCCCGCTGCCGCCACACTGCCGTCATCAACATCAGTGTTGCAACATTGCATTCCCCTATCACCGCTCTACTTCCCCGCCTCCCCCACAGCTGCCACATTACTTCCCTCTCTCGCCATTCTGCTAGGACCGGCCCGAAAATGTCAAAAGTATGATTGACATTACCCAAGATTCACATGTTGGGTCCTATTTAATTACTTTGTGCAGAATGCCTAAATTTGAGCTTTAATAAAAATGAAAATATAATCAACTCATTCAAAAACGTAAATTCAAATATATCAAGTAATTAGCATAATAAACATATACTCCCTCCGTCCCAATTTAAATTATTGCCCGTTTTGATTTTTGGGCATATTTAAGGAAAATAAAAAATAGAGTTGATTTTGCAAAATTGACATTATTTTTTAAAAGGAGTAATGATGAATGAGAAGATAAAGTGAAAAAGAATGACTTATTTTAAGGGTAGTTTAGGTATTTTATTTTTAATAGTTTATAAAAACAACTAACAGGCAATTTAATTTGGGACGGAAAAAAAAGACAAACAGGCAATTTAAAATGGGACAGAGGGAGTAATAATAATATTGGGCCTCAAAAAATTTATGGATCCTGTGCACAACCATATCAGATCAGATACACACTATCAAGGTATGCTTTTAACATATCAGATCATATTAACTCTAAAGTTATTGTTCTCCAAGGCGAGCTTGATTGATTATTTAGCACAACAAATAAGTACGGTATTTCATTTTCTTTCTGCTTTATTTAGGCTCCTTACAAATAATACTCCCCTCCCGTCCTAAAAACACTTTTTGTTTTAACTTTTTTTGTCAAACAATGACACTATTTGACATTAAATTAAACATAATCTAAATAAATAAATGATATAAAAATTTGATATATCAAAACTAATTCTAAGATGAACCCAATTATATTGAATTATATCATAATTAAATATACCTTTCTCACAATTTGTGATCAAAGAGTGTCACTATTTGACTAAAAAAAGTCAAAACAAGAAAGGTTTTTAGGACGGGAGGGAGTACATCAAATTAATTAGTAGGATCAATCTTGAACTCAGGTATATAACCACAAGTAATTCTGCATATATTACACGCTTAATACAATCTATCTAATCCAAAAGTGTGGGGAGCTACGACGGTACCCAATTTAACAAATACATCCATCCCCAGCATCCTCGTAATTCTCTACACTAAAAGTTGTATCTCTATCTTCAAGCAACTATATATATTGTGAGCAAACTGGAGGGGAAAAGAAAAAGAAAGAGAAAGAGAAGGAAGGGTTGAGATTTACAGGTGTCTCACAGAGGCCGCAGCAGAGGGTAATCTTCCAAGAGTTCTCGCTCGGATAATGTGTCGTTTTCATTTTGTGGGGTCCACAAAACCTCTACCGCCTGCACATGTCGATAGAAAAGAGAGAGCGCGTGTGAGAATAAGAAAATAATTGAGGAAAAATAAGACATTGTTTCTTGACGTCTGCTGGTTAGTAAGTAACTTGGAGCGCAACATACCAGTATTCGGCTTGATGGAATCGATGCAAGTTTCTGCAGAGCTTCTTTCAAATCTCCACTCCCGTTAATGGTAGGTAGTTTATACGATCCTTCGGCAGCCACCAAGATGGTCACCTGAACAACAATACTAGTAAGAACACACACATATACATACACCCCTAAATACAAGGCTTTCCTGCAGAATAAGCAGAAATATGAATTTTGGTCCTTACCACAATATATTCATTGCTAAATGCATTTGCTCTCAGGCTCATTGAAGTTTGCCTTTTAATGCTATTTACATTGACAAGTGTTTCTTCATCAAATTTACCACGCTCCTCAATTGAGAGATGATTGAATCGTTTCTCACCTTCCTCCATGCTCTTCTTCACATCAACCTGTGTATGTACAAGGCATACGCTAATAAAGTTACAAGAGGGTCAGTTGACACTTGAGGATCTTAATGCAATAAATGCATTGATCGAGAAGAAGGGAGGGAGGTACTATTGTCATGATTTGGCATGTACAATGAATAGACGAAGGGATTATAGAACAGGACAATGACTAATACTAACCTCTTGGTTTATAGGCCAGTGTCATTTAATTATTTTACAGGATAAGTATTTTCATTCTCAATGCACATATGTTGTCCTAAATCACAACATAAATTTGTTACTCTGATCCAAATTTTACTAAAGAAGCATAGGAACGCCAATCCCATCATCCCATATTTATATGACATTTGCTCATATTGGTACACACAAGTAGGACGCCCTAAAAAGCAAAGCATCCTTTTTGTTATACACAAGATAACAAAAGGAAGTAACACTTCAAAGTTCAAACTAGTTCTCTCACATTTTCTTCCCACTATGTTTAACTACAGATATTGAAGGATGAGAAATGTGTTAGAAAATAACCGGACCATATGAATCCCTAGATAATAAATACTCCCTCCGTTCTCAAAAACACTTCCTCTTTCATTTTTTTCACTTTCAACAAAACACTTCCATTTTCTATTAAAAAACCACTTTTACCCTTACTTTTTCATACCCTACCTATCAGATCATACTTTATCTCTAATAATCTATCCATCACATCTTACTTTTACCCATCACATCAAGGGCAAAATTGGAAGTCAACTACAATTTAATACTTCCTTATTTTTACACAAAGTTAAAAGAGGAACACTTTTTCCAATCGGAGGGAGTAGAATGACAGTCCAAGATGGACTTAGGAACTAAGGAAGTACTCCACTTGTTAAAGAATTTGGGAAAGATGCGCACAACTGGAATACTTTCGAAACCTCAATCACACACCATAAGAAGCAAAAGATATATGAGGGATGAAAAGGTAGCACCAGTACTTACAGATGAATAAGCTGAGATGCAATAATCCGGATGGCGAAGCAAGGCTAAAGTTGTTTCTGCAACCAGATAAAAAAAACAATAAGTTTCCAACTATGCCAAAATGAAGAGATACCCACAAAAGGGAAAAAATACAACTAGATGGAAATACAAAATGAAGATCATACCTGTCAATACATAGCTTAAGCCCTCGGGTGTGGATGTATCAGCTACTTCTGCCATCCGGTTCAAATCACTCTGGAGTGATCTACCTAAGCCCAATAAACCAACCTATCGAAATAATCATTAGTGGTATTAGTGTATAAGGACATTTTCCAATATTTGTGAGTGAGCAATTGACAGTTTGACACGGACTGAGTTAGACCCGCAATCTCTATCCCGCCCTTCAACATAACAAACACAAATATTCACTGGTAGGTAGTGGCTCAGCATATTATATTATGCTCTAAAGTATAGGCATGAGCATGACCGGGCTACTTTCATTTAGAATGCAACAGCAAAGCCCTTTGCCTATTCACATCATTTTAATCTAGCATTTTAACTGCAATTGTATTGATTGTAAAATACAATGTCATTCAAAAGTGGTATACAATGCATATGCCAAAAAGAAGCAGGCCTTCAAATATCTAATCAGAAATGCATAAAAAAGTACTACGTACAAGTTGTTAAAGAATGATGTGTATATTAAGTAGTAATTCATTACTATTGTCTTTCCCAATCATATTTGTATACATCTTTAAAGAAGTTATTTTACAATCAATACAATTGCTACACCAGAAATCATTTCTGTAGACAACTTTTTACCCAATAAGACAACTTCCACAAGACAAATCACACTTTCATATAAAATAGACAAAACCAAACAAGTTAAAACTACTCCCTCCATTGCTCTGAATTTAGCTATCCACTCGTCCCAACACCTCAAATTTAAGGAATGGGGTGAATTGACAAAAACAAAATCATTGTAATTGGACTATCATCCATTGTTAGCAACAATCTTAACAATTAACAACCATGTTCTTCGGAAGTATTTTTGGTATAAATCAAATAAGGTTTAAGAAAAATTAACTCCGGACATCCACAAAGCAGAGGAGGAGAACTAAATTAGGAACGAGAGAGTAGGAAATCGACTGATTTTTGTACTAGTCAGCACAAACTTAGAATCTACCTGAAGCTTAATAACAGAGGTTTTCTGGGCAGCGGCAGCAGTGAGCACACTGCCGCCCTCAGACCTGTCAGAGAGGAAGCCTGAGACCAAAACGAAAGCAGCGACGCTCGCCATTATGAAGAAGAAACTGGAACCAACTCCAACAGCGGGTCCCAAGTAAATCCCGCCTCCCCCAAATCCAAACGGGGAGGGTTCGAAATAGGGCACCGAATAAGAAATCCTAGACTCCACAGTCCTCCGCAAGGAGTAATAAGAGGTAGAAGGGGAGGAGGAGGAGTCTCGAGAAGAAAATGCGCGTCCACCTACCCTGCCGCCGGAGTGCGCGGCCATTGCTGAGCCCGGATCGCACATAAAGAGCAACCCGACGAGAAGAGCGACAAGCGCCGGCCTAAGCAGAGCCTTGACGGCATTGAGGAGAGTCCTTTCAAGCGGGTGGCAGCGTTGATCGCTTACATTCGCCTGAAGATCCGGGAGACCCGTTCTGAATACAGACTTAGCAGAGGCGGGATGGTCGTCGCCGGCATCTTCACCGGCGGTGCAGAGGCGGCAATTGAGGTTGAATGGCGGGGGTTGTTTAGGGAGGGAGAAGATCGGGAGGAGTGTGGTATGAGTCGGAGAAATAAGGGAAGGGAGTCGAATTGAAGGGCTTAAAGGTCGGAGTGGAAAGGCGTTCCATTTGAGGAGGTGAGATTGAAGCAAATGTTGAGTCGCCGTCGCCGTCGTCGTCATCATCGCCATGGATAAGAGTAGACAGACGGAGAGAGGGGATGGTCAAACCGAAGGAGAACAATCAAAGGATTTGGAGAGCCAATTGGACTACTACTCCATACAACAATTCTACAAATCACAAATTATCTTTGCCTTCATGTCTCAATTTTTAGATTGTGTTAGATAAATTGTTGCATTGCACAAAAGTTTACTTTTGTTGATTTTTAAATCTTGTTACATTAATTTGTTACATACACAATAACATAGTGTGTTTTCCGGTGCTTATAAACAATTTTGAACCTATACGCCAATTGATAACATGTATCTGTGTATTTATAAGTTAATTTATAAGCTGCTTATAAATTAAAAAAATAAGTATGTTTTAGCTACTTTTTTAAGCTAGTTTTTCATTTCTTTTTTTTACACAAGATTATTAACAAAATTATTTCTCACCATTCATGAATAATTCCAAGTGACATATCCATCATATATGTCATTGTACTTCCATAACAAAATATTTGACTTATAAGCAACTAAAAAAAATTTTTGAAAGGAGAAACACTCATAATTTTGTTGACTTATTGCATTACAGAGTATGTGATAACATAAGTACGTAATATTTTTTCACGAACAACTAACACAAAGAATCGATCAAAACAACTAACCCAACCAGCTATCCAAAATGGCCAACTTAAACAGTCCACAACCAATTACGGATGACCAAACAAGGCAAATACGAGTAGAATTCAGAACTTCAAATTAACGCCCACATTTTTTTATTTGACCCACTTTTTTTCTTTATGTAGCTATTTGCTCAGTGCTTAACACGCATAAATAAAGTGTCTAGAAACATACTGAAAAAAAAGAGATCATCTGTGACCAATAATGTTTGTTTGTCTCTTGACAAAAGAAAACTTACACTGCACCAGTAAGACTAGTAGATGTATGGATTTCATATACACCTAACCAAATTTACAATGACCGTCCTTTTTGTTTTTTTTCCTTTCCCTTCATAGTGGGTTTTGATGCTGATGGACATCTCTGAATCTACTACTCCTAGTTCTTCCTCTTGTTCTGTTTGTTACAAGATACAAGCAAAGATGTAACGCTAAAGAACAATGACGATGAACGAATGACGAAAAAAAGACATTACTGCAGTGACCCCGGATGAGCTGGGCGCGTTTTGACTTGATACACCATCTTAACCTGCTTCTCGCGCCCGTCGTTTGAGGTCATTTGCTGCTTTGAGCTCATCCCCCTGCCGCCGCTAGATGAGGGACAGGTGATCCACCTTGGAGGCGGTGATGGAAGTGGGCCCACACTGTTGTTCGTGAATGGAGGAGGGATGGGCTGAACGTGAGGCAATCTAGGGGAAGGTGCTGTTTGTTGCCTCGCTCTTCCACTGCCTTCAATGGTCAATGCAGACATCCCACCCCTGATGCCGTGGGTCGGATCTTGGTGTAAAAGCCTGTCTGGTCCTCTGAAATTTTGCCGGTTTCCTTGGAACTCATTTGGGGCAGGCAACGACGGTCCACCCCTGATGCCATGGTACTGCTCTGGATGAAAATGTCTGTCTTGCCCTCTGTAATTTTGGCGGCTTCCATGGAACTCGTTTGGGACAGACAGCGGCATTCCCCCCCTGTTGCCGTGGTACTGATCTTGATGAAAAACTCTGTCCTGCCCTCTGAAATTTTGGCGGTTTCCTTGAAACTCATAGGGAGAGGGTGGGCCATATCTTGGGCCGGGAATGCCCATTACACCACGAGGGGCATTATGGTAATGATTACCATATGAAGAAGGATCATCATAAAACCGACCAGATTGTACAGCAGCTCGAGGCCGATAACCAACATGGTTTCCTGCTGAGCTTCGATTAGAATTCGTTTGGTCATAAAACCCCTCATCTCGCCCCCATGATCCACCAAAAGCCCTTGGCTTAGTTATCATATTATTGCTTCCAGGGCTGTTTCTGAAGTTTGCCTGGTTTGATGCTCCTCTGCAATTCCCCCCATACCCGATATTCAATGTGTTCTTGAGCAAGCGATGGGCCGCTTCTCCTAATGAAGGACCGGCAATCGCACCAGCTATTGGGGGCCTGCAGTGCCAAACATATCAGTTGAAATGTGAGAGTTTATGGTGGTTTTCTTGGTTATGTTTCTTGTTTTCTGTTATATATTTTCTAGGTATGTTTTGCAGGCAATTTATATTAGCGGTCAAAATGCTTTTCAAATAGTGTCAAAATTGGAACCATGTTTTCCAGAAAACAGTGGAAACCAGAAGTATGTTTCCCATAGATTCTAGAATTCATGTTTTTGTTTTCAAAACCATCAGAAAAAAACCCTCAGTATAATTATATGTTTTCTTGTTTCAGTTTTCAGAAGGTGAAAACAAACATTACCAAACGACACCTGAGTTCACAATACATTTAACAATGAAACTGCAGATTCCAGCATCGGAGGAATGCTCATTAAAAAAAGGCATAGCAAAAAGAGGAACCAAAGTATACCTATCTTTGCCAAGCTGCCGCCTAGAGCCATACTCTTCATGCCATAACGCAGGTAAGGGTTTTACATCAAACTGTCTCACAGCCTGTACCAGGAAAAGTAAAAGGCTATTTTCAGGTTTCCATACAAGAATAAACACTAAACCTTGGAGTTTTGAAACTATAAGAACTCGAATCAACTTGTAAACATCATAATTTACCATTTATATAATTTTTCTTTTGTAAACTCAGGTAACATATTGCAATTCTATATTGATGAACATGCTACAAATTCAGAAGGGTTTTTCAAAATTGCAAGTGAGGGCTTATTAAACGACAAAAGAAGCAAATAAAGAATCTAACTCCAAATACAAGCAACTTGGTAATCATTAAAATAAGGTTGGGTAATAGAATACTAATATACTGGCGGCATGTTTGGTGAGCAAAATAGATATGAGTTCAGATATCCAAGATATCAAGTTCTTTTCACGAGTGTTTTGTGAGCCATATAAGGGGCCAAGTCATGATATCTCTTGATACCTGACCCCCAACCCACTAATAGGGTGTTTTGATATCCCCAAAATCGGTGATATCAATGCAGGGAAATTAAATCAAGTGAAGACCACTTGCTGCCACCAACTACCATCAGCTTGCCCCCAGCACCAGCCCCTTCCAATAGCATTCTTAAGAATGAAAATATATGTACAGTTCTCAGCAAATATAGCGCAAACACCCAAGAAAAAGTTGTTCAATTTTAAATGTTGTCCTCAATCAGAACCTATCCCTTACCTTACTAGGCATAATTACTCCTGCAGGAGGCTTTGGAATGTGCTTGTGAGGAGGAGGATTCAGAAAAGTAATATTCCTGGGAAAACAATCAGTAATGCATATTAAAATCACGGTAACATGCTTAAAGTAAATTTACTGTATTTGAAGTTAGGGTTTGGATGTGAGACTTAGAACTTACAAAATTTGATTGTTAGTAATGGCATCCAATTCGGGAATTGGGGGAGGAACAACATTTTTCAGCCCATTTCTTTCTGATAACCAAATGAATCCATTCATTCCACCACTGCACCCAAAAAAAAAAAAAGTGCAACAGAAGGTTGACATACTGAATAGAACCGGCATATGCAATACATGACCTAAACATAACTTATTATTAGTAGCATTATTGATACCAACCTTGTACTGGCATCAATTGGCCATGGTATTTGTTCCTTCGGAGGCACGGAAATGTTATGGCGATAGTAAGTCAGGATATATGGTGCCAAAGGATGTAAAGGGTGAATATACAGCAAATCAAACATCACGCTGTTTCTTAGTTGCTCTTCTGGCTGAAAATGACCATGTGAGCAATGAATGAATAAGCAAGAAGGCATGTGATCAGTAATAGTCTAATAGTGTTCTCGTGCATTATGTCAAGGCAAGAAGCTCATTGCATTTGAGCTAGAAATTCATAATACGCCTATCTGTTTCAAAAAGTATAGACTTTCAATCCCGCTCCTGCAGTTCTCAAAAGGTGAGTCTCAAAGGTGTGAATTAATACAAATTGTAACTTCAAAGATCAAAGGTTTTAGTACATTAAAGTTAAGACATGATATTATGTTTTGGATAAATATACTCCCTACATCCTAAAATTAACCTCCCAAATTGATTTGGCACACGTATAAAGAAAGTGAAATTGTGTGGCTGTGGTTGATGTAGAAGTGAGAATAATTTGGACCACAGAAAGCTTTCCAAAAAAGGCAATGGGAATAAATGTTTAGGGCAGAGAGAGTAATATCTAATATGTTATGCATACAAGCTTTTGGGAGCAGTACTTCTTCACTATGAAAATGTTTTGGAAAGCAAAACTTCATCCAAATCTATCAGCACCATTCTTTGATTCCTGAACCATTTTTTGGGACGTTTGGGTGACTCTATGGTAGATAGAACAAAAATATGCCATGCTTTTCTGCCTTACAACAATGATTTTTGGTGGCTTTTAAGTACATACAAACAACAAGAAACCCAGACAATTCAAAGATTGTTTGGTCTGGAAGGGTCAAAAAGTGCACAACCTTACCCTTGTAAAAAACAGAAAGGTTGTTTATGTTCAACCCTAATATGCACTTAAGAATCTACCACCCAAATGTGCCATTCTCATTTCCAAAGCAAAATCATAGTCAAAATGACTCTTTTAGCGTCATTGACAATGATACTTCCTAAAAAACACATTACAACCTTCTGAAAAGGAACTTGACAACCATATAGAAATTCACTTTCAGTTGTATCAACTCCCTAGACTTGGAGTTTGTATTTCCTTAGCAGTTGACAATGATATATAAATCAATGTTTAAAACAATCTGTCCGATTCAGTAAATCCTTCATTATTTGTAAAATTGTGGCTCAATGTAACAGTTCCAGAAAACTAAAAGATTGATAGATTGAACATGCATACCGTCAAAGTGTCTTCTAGCCTCTTTGTTTCAGCAAGCAACTTATTTTCATCAATGAACGGCAACTTCACAACAGCCTAATTCCAAATCAGGCATGGTGAATATACGTCTTGAAAAAAGACCAGACATGTAACTAAATTCATCACTTCTATTTATGAGAGCGTGCACAAAATCATGATCAAGTCTCCTAAAACTATGAATACTATCTTAGCATAGTGAGTTACCTGCCATGTAAAACGCTTCCCGTTCATGTCCAATTCAAAATCTATCCGTGTATACAACCAACAAAATGAAAAGTTACTTACAATTCAAAATTTACCAATATAAAAAAAAGCAAAAGTTACTTCAGAATTAAGAGGTAGGGGAAAAGCTCAGTCATATGGCATTACCAGTTGGATAAAATTCAATAATGGGAGATGATGGATCAGTCATTAATGTCCTGTATCTTTCAGGAAGAGCACTTGAACTGCAGCAAAGGAGGAAAACCAAAATAAAAAATTGATGGCATAAAAAAGTGATATCAAAATGGATACTGATAACAGAAGTTAAGTTCCAAACCTCGCAGCAGGCAAGACACCCATCAGCTGATCAAAGGGCCTAAATGGTTCACCGCGGAAGAATGTAATCTCTAAGTCTGCTAGCCCTTTAAGATCAGAAGCGAATGGAGCATAATGATATGGATAAAACCTGAAAACAGAGCCAGATATTATACTAACTTCATAATACAGCATAAAAATGAAATAAAATTGGAAGAAAAATTTTGAGAGGCATCTGTTCAGTGTTCATAAAATTCTAAGCACTTCCAGCAAATGAAAATGGAAAAGGTGTTATTATTCAAGTGGATATAAAAGTAGGAAGACTAAACGATGTAATAGAAACACAGATGAACAGTATCTGCAGGTACTATTCATCATGTTTTACCTAGGGTCTATCTTCTCTTGGAGAATTCTTCATTAGTAAACACCCATCCCTTGAGCTTCTCCCATGGCTTGAGTGGCAGGAAGTCTACTCCCCAAGATTCATGGGGAAGCTCACCCAGATTCAATGAGTAAGTATGAGTAAATACTTCATTGAAATAGAGTCAATAGCACTCAAAGAAACACCCATCCCTTCCCGGCAACTCCCCCCACCCCCACCCCTACCTTGCCTAAAAAGATATCACAAACAAGTAATTAAAGCACTAAAAATAAAAGGACAGGTCATGCAGCAACTAGAGCAAATGTCAAATGTTTGTTATACAAGGACATTATTAGTGACCAATATGAGAACAAAATTCCCGACAAACTGAATGACAAGGCAAAGAGGACAGGTATGATACTGGGAAAATACTAACCATTGCCAGGAACATACACCTTGGAAGTAATACCGGCAAACCCAGCACAACCCTTCAACATACTTCTGAACCTGCAAAAGTATGTTGTGAAGTTGTAAGTTCTTGAGCATAGGAGTGGAGTGTTACTGCCTTACTGGAGATCCAAAAAGCCCAAGGATGGAGCATGACAAAAACTGAGAGTTTTAATAAGGACATTTGGATACATGCCACATCATTGGGAGGAGAAGATGAAAATATTTGGTTATTTATGAATGAGTTTGAAAAAGTATCTCTTGGAGTCTTGGTTCATTTAGCTACCCTCATTGGTTTGGGAATATTGACGTAATTTGAACCAACTGTCCTTTCAAGATATTTCTTTTAGAAGGCAAGACATTTCAGGGAGCAGTCGTGGTCATTGCTCAGCTAAATGATATTGAAAGGCAACTTACGTTGTCTCCCAAATGGATGTGTTTGCATTACTCTTGCACTGTGCATTCAAAATGTGACATTGTCCTATAACCTGACCATTTATATAGTTCAAATCTACTCTTAATCCTTCTAAAGTAATGCATACTGAGTTTATCACAAGTGATGTTTTTAAAATGAGGGAACATTTAACCTACATATTACAAAGTTATCTAAGAAGTAGAGTTGCAATTATTGTGGCAAGAGAAGAGAACAACATAGCACGTACAAAACAAGTTTCACTTCATGTACCTTGGGAAAAAACATCTGCATTCCGTGTTTGTAAACGATTAAATGTTCTAAAATGCAATAGACAATAGGGGATCAACAAACAAGCGCCTAGATCTCAGAGCCCCTGACAATTATTAATAGGACCTAGAAAGGGGAGGAGTACAAGATGCCTGTGAGCCATGTGAGGAAGCTAAGTTGGCGGTATCGGCTGCTAAGAATGCAGTTTTTGAATGTCTGTATAAAGGACCCAGAACTCCTGGGGAGTGGGGAGGAGAGAAGAGATTGTTTCGGCCAGCTAAGGCGTGTGAGGGGAAGGCACGAGATTTGGAATATGTGAGATGCATTGAGGCATAATTGGCAGGGTCTTGTTCAACGAGGTGGTGTGAGGAATAGGTAGAAATTGCACTTTTATGGGCTCCAAAATGCTACAAACGAGAGACTGCTAGTTGGTGAATAGGGGCAGTCGGAGAGTCATCAAGATTTTGGGTATTAATGGCGCATTAGACATGATGTGGTGGCGAGAACCATTCACATGATGAGAGGGGGAGAGCCCCAACAACGGATGAAATTTTGGTGGAGTTCGGGAAGCTTGTGTGCAGTGATAGGTTGTTCTGGATCACAAAGATGTTTAGTGTTATTTTAAGTGCAGCTGTGCGGCTAAGATGCCCTTGGCCTAACAAAATGAAGGAGAGTGGTGATCCGATTGTACAAAAGCAAAGAAGATTTCCAGAGTTGCAATAATTATAGAGGCATCATACTGCTAAGTCACCCCATGAAGGTCTGGGAAAAGTATCATATGCCAATAGCCATATATGAGCACCCAAACTAGAAAGTGGGATGTGCTCTTCCTAATTCTTTAAGAATAGCATATCCACTGAAGAGTGATATGAATAATTAAGACACTACTAAAAAGATGTCGCAAACTTATAGTATAAGAGTTCCACTTACAACATCTTGTCTAGTCATTTCAATTTCCGCTGGACTTGACAAACCAAATTTCTCAAGATAATATCGATCCTTGTATCCAGGCTCTCCAAGCCTCACCTGAAAATGAAATAGTATTTAATATGTACAGCACATATAGTATTGAGTTTCGCATGACCAATTGACCATATACGAAATAGTGTGCAGCTTGCTTATGAAAGCATGAACAGAAAAAAGCAACAAATGGAGTACAAACCTTGTCCATGTCGGGCGGTGGTGGCTCATCATTACTGTCATTTCTTGCCTGAGTGAATTCCAAAATGTATTCAAAATTAGAAACAAGATATGACAAAGAGGGTTCCTATTAGAAATGTTAAGGAAGGTTTATCACAGGCTGCATCATACAATAACAAAGAACCCACTAAAGTCCCACAAAGGCAGCGCCTGGGGAGGAGGGTGTGTGTAAGCACTAAGCAGACCTTACCCCCACATGCCGCATCATAATGATTGTACTATGTGCAAATAATGTCAGATGAAATTATTAGAAATGCAAAAAAGATGATGATAATGCTTATAGAGACTGCATTCCACAAACCACTAAAAGAAGATGAATCAAGTACACTGTCATTTTAGCAACTAGATATCCAGAACAACAATACTTTTATGTGCAGACTCCAACTCATATAATATCTCACATTTCTTTCAATATTTCATTGTAAATATGATAGATCACCTGACTAATACGAGCTCGTTTCCGGAAAATTTGGTCTTCGTGACGCGCAATTGCTTTAATAAAATGTTCTGCCCTATCAAGAGAAACCTGCAATTATTAACAATTGAACTAAAATAGGGCGCAATAGGTTCAAAACAGAGAAAACCGCGAGAAATCTTGCAAACTAAATACCCAAGAAAAGTTATAATAAGCAGCAGGTCAATAGGTCAAAAAAGACAAGCCTCTAAGGAAAGATGAAAATAAAAATGCACTCAATGGATACATATGACTTTTACTACTTTATTTAGGAAGCATGAAAATGAGAATTTAATAACATGAATGGACACAAAGATTCCTCATACCAGAAATCGGTAAGAGGTGAAAGAAGTGGCTTCAAGTAATGTTTGAAAATATAAGCATAAACTGAAAGCATAGATTACCTCACCCGCATCTGTGAGATAACCACCCATAGCCGTAAACTCAGTTCTGTAAATGGCCATCAGAAGATTGATTGCCCCCTGGAATTGCAAACATCATCAACAAAATGTACAAAAAATGAATAATGGAAGGAAGCCTGAGCAACATGATAGCATGAAGACTGCATGGAATGCTTATTGAGCAGCAAAGAAAGAACTATTACTTGCTCCATAGTTTCCGTAACTCAGAGAATACCAATACAATATTTTAGCAAATCAAAATCCATTTAAGAGAGATTTGGGCAGGGGTGCAAAAAAGAAGAATATTATTGGAATATACCAATATATCTGCATTTCCATGAGTCCATGACAGTTTACCTCTCGAATCTCCAGTGTGGGCATATGAGGCAGAAAGTCATTGCCAACAAAGAAGCACAAGAAAACAAAGTCATCCAGCACCCTCTCGAAGTCTATTTTAAATGGGGGATTCGAAATAGCCAAATCATGTTGCAAATATTCCCGCAACACCCACATATTTATCAACTGCCAGCAATGCATAACAAAAGCAACAATGAGAACCAAAGATACGTGAATTTTTTGGGACTGAAGAAAGCATTGAAATTCTTTAACCTGGTACTTCTTCTTGTGGATGGGAATGGCATTTGAAGCTTTCCCATTTGCATCTGCAGCTTGACTAAAACCTATGCCATTACAATCTGCAGCCAAATGCCCAGATTGTCCATAAGCATAGCACTTATTCTGCTGTCCAGGTGGAGGAATTACCTATAAATGAGATGTCTTAGGTTAGAATTTAAAAAGCAATATGACTGCAAAACTAAAAACTTGGCAAGTACTCCTATTCCACTGATTTTGTGACATTGAATAGTAGCATAATAGAATGCAAAGTAAGAGTGAATGTGAGCCACAAAAACATTACTAATTGGGGCATGCGACAAAAAAAGTGGGACAAAGGGAGTAACTAGTATTAACCTCTCTCAGTATTGAAAAATGCACTTCATGAGTAGCCAGAGACAGCATTATTAGATCTGCATCCTAATTCAAAAAGGATTGGAAGCACATCGTATAAGTAAATAAGACATTGAAAAACAGATGCAAAATGAGAAATGTATGAATGAGGATGAAGATTTAATAACTATCACTCACAAGACCATATAAACAATGGCGTGTGTTTGGATCAAAGCCTGGAAGGTCACGTTGCAAGCGAATGTAGGACATGATTTTGTGCTCCCCCTCACCAGGGACATTTGCATCAGAGAGAATTACCTTCAAATAACCACCAATCCAGCCCCATAAATAAGTTAAGAGACTAAACTGTCCTGAAAACCAGAAATGTAATGGAAAATACCAAAAAGGATTACTCCTTATAGGCAAATCATCTGCTCTTAAATCACACCATATTGAGAAAGGGTGATGAAGAAAGTGTTGCTAAACAATGACTGACCTTTGTAAACCGCCAGCTAGCATTATTATTCAGCCTTGATTGTATATAATACTGTAGAGCCACTGAAAGTACTGCCATAAATGGAGTTCCGGGAGTAATAACATTTGAATCAGATGTCTCTGTCTTTTCTACCGATAATTTGGCCCCCTCAATCTCAAATTCCTTCCTCAACCTTTCTTCGGCTTCCTAAAAATACATTAAAATCCAATAGATTCTACATTTATTGCTTTCTTTAAACTACAAATCATAAAGTCCTTACCATCTCTGCAGCATCTTTAGCCGCTTTGAAACGCCTGGTACGTTGTTGGTTCATTTTAGCTCTAGGAGCCACTCCATCTAATTTATTAGAAATAATGCCATAGTAAGCAGAAACATTGAAATGTTTTGCAAAGTTGACAAGAGTAAATATAATATCTATTTTGCTTTTAAGGTAAGAGAATTGGATAGGTTGAACAGTTAATACTTACCAATTGCCAAATAAAGTAGCTTTCTTGGACGAATCAATGAAAAGAGATGATCAATGTACTCGAAAATTGATTTGAATACATCATTGTAAGTTGCAGGAGCAGGCTGGAAATAGAAGAGCAGACATTATGATTCACAAGAATAGAAGCACACACACACACACACACACACACACACACACACACACACACACACACATACATACATATATATAAACTATCATAAATCATAAAATGGCCAAACGAAGTACAAAACTTGTTTTATCGGCCGAAGAGAAATTTTAAGGAAACTATCATACGGTTTAAAAATTTTGGTTTCAAAAAGAAAACTATGATATGAATGCTGTTATATAACACAACTATGACATATCTACACATTCTCTAACTGAATATTAGCACTTTTTGAAGGGGAATTCTAAGATCATTTTATGCAATTTGTGTGAGAATGATTACAATTTACAATTTTTTTGTGTTGCTTCAGTCAGATGGGAATTTTCACAAACGATGCCTATGGTGTACCAGTATGGAAGCACGCTTACCTTATACTCTGCTTTATTTTCTAAAAGTCCTTTTTGTGAAATTAGTAATGTTCTCTTTTTCATTAAGTTGGAAGACCTCGTGTATTAAAAAAAGAATTGTCTCTCTTTTGCTACAATTTACACCTCGGAAGCAACTGTAGAGGGACAAATCTTTAAAAAAACTGCTCCCTCCATCCCACGCTAAGGTTTACACTTTGATTTCACAAGTTTAACGCATTAAACTTTACACTTTGATTTCACTAGTTTAAGATAAGTATTGAAAAGTATTTAGTTGGAATTAATATAGAAGAATAAAAATGTTATGAGCCATATATTCATTTCTCAAAAAAGGAAATGGAACAAGTGTAATGTTTGTTCTAAGATGGACAAAAAAGGAAAATGTATATCTCATTAAGTATTAACATGCTCATTTTCCATGATCAAGAAACCAATTCAGGCCTTAGGCCTTTTTGCCCAAATCACATTTAAACCACCAAGTTTCCCATCCAACGTTTCTCATAAAGATAAAGCGTTCACTATACTACATCATATTCTCAATTTTTAACAAGATTAGACTCAGCCCACTAAATTTGCAGCCTTTGTTCAATGCACCTAAAGTGAACAAAGATTTAGTTTTTTCATCAGCAAAGCCCAATAATATCCATTAAATGACAAAGCACTGTAAATTGTGAGATAAAGAGCAATTAAATTTTCTCAATCTTTTTAGGATAAAAAACAAAAACAAAAAAGTATCTATAAGTATGAGATTATTTGAAGTAAGCTTTTGAGCTGAAATTCAAAGAAATAAAAAAATCGCATACCATCCCTTCCGGGTGAAAACAGGGGTGAATAATCCCATTCATGTCCAGGTACAAGTTGTCGAACTCAATCCCGTTAGGGTTCGGCCCTGACACGTCTACCGGAAAAGGCATGCCGTCCCTGGGTTCTTCCTCCGCCACGTCAGCGATCGACAGTGGGTACCGATCAGCCAGCCACCTGTAGAATGCCGGTACTCCCATTGCTCCTCCTTAGCCGGTGGTTTTGCAGAGCCTCGCCTTTCTCTGTTTCTCTTCTTCACTCCGTGATTCACCAGATCGAAAAGCAGAGTAACAAAATTAGAGGCGGCTCTGCGAGCTTTAACTTGAAGAATGGATTAAAATGTTGGATAAAGCTAATGTACTCCAAACTCAGGTACCCCACTTTATATCCCGTAGGTTTGCACCAAACTAATTTTTTTGTTAACGCACCAACACTTTGTGTCTGGAAAATTTTTATTAATGCACCAACATTTGTGTCGGTGTAAACCATCAAAATGTTTATGTATAAATATGGTGTACAAATGGAATACAAATCTTGGTGTAAATGTAGCATGGTCCATGTTTAATTTGAAAGATGTTATTCAATAATTATGTATTTTTTTAAATTAATTTTCAAAATTTAACTAATTTTCAATATGATACTTGTTAATTGAAAATAATACTTAATTCCGTCCGTTAAAATGACGTTAAACTTTATACGGAGTACAAGTTTTTCAAAGTAGTAAGGTATTTTATCAAATTGGTCTATTTTTAAAATATTATTACATTAATTATGAAAAAATATTACAGATGCTATAGGATGACAGTATAATACTTAAAATTGCAAATATAATTTGATAAATTTAAGGGTAAAAATTTTCAATTATTTATAATTATTTAGAAGAATAGAATGTAAATAAAATGTCTAATAATCAGAGTTATTTCTGTGTCAAAATAGGAGTTTTTTCTTTATGTTTTATTCCTATTTAAGGTAATTTCTTTAACGTTTATTCAAAATTTTGTTTACATGATATTCTTTTAAATAATTACAAATAATCTAAAATGTTACTTTTAGAATTAAAAATTTATAATTATAGTTTTTAGTATTATCTATATGGAAATATTTTTCCATAATTAATGTATTTTTATTTTGAAAATATATCAATTTGAGAAAACTCACAGTTAGATAGTATCATTTTGAGACAGTAGTATAAGGTTAAACGTCTTTTTAACATTGTTTTAATGGCTGTTAGTTGGAAGGGCTGAACTGAGCATTACTTTCCATTATCGAATACTATTTCAAAATTTGGTTAGTTTTAAAGAAAAAATTTGAGAAAATACATAGTTATTTAGTACTCCAATTTTAAGTATTACTCTTACAGTCTTACTTTTAAAGATACAACTTTGAGATGTCACATGCTCAAAAATAACTCCTAGATATAAAAATTAAAGTTAATTATTTCAAAAGGACCATGCTAGGGCGCCACCATATGGGTGCTACCATGGGTGCACCCATGCTTCGCACAGACAAATACAGACGATAATTGTCTGTGCGACACAGACAATTATCGTCTGTGGGGTCTGTGTGAAGCATGGATGCACCCATGGTAGCACCCATGTGGTGGCACCCTATCATTTTCCATTTCAAAATACTTTTCATCAAACCGACCATTAAAGCAAGAATTTAGTTACTCATCATTATGATACTTATTTTGTTGTACCTTAACATAAGTCTTATCTCAAGAACTCGGAAGTATCTTCCTCAATTTCTTTTTTCTCAAAGTCTGGTGTTCCAACGACTTAAGATGGAAACCATGCTTTTGGTGATTTTTGAGTGCTCTTTTTTTTTCTTCACAACTTTCTTGTAAGTCCGAAACCTACAACTAGATTGTTGAAGTTCATGAAAAAAAATAAAAAATCACTCAAAATAAAAATGACATTCCAAACAAGAGTTAGATTCTACTTTGTACTTTTTAACCTCCAAATAAGAGTTGGATTGTGCTATATAGTATTGTAATTTGACATTCCATGGTATTTTTAGGTATTATATATTGACATTACAAGCATTGTAACTATAGAAATCACTTTAAATAGGACTAAAACATAGAGTAAAGTACCAAAATATGACTTTCATATTTTTTTCTGAAATAGGACTTTGTACTGTGGTAATGTGACAATCTATATGTGCACATTACTATACTTTTTTTATAATGTATACGACCATGTATGGTAATGTAAGTCCTGTTTCGGGAATAAAAACATGAAAGTCCTATTTTGGTATATTTTTAATGTTTTAGTCCTATTTTGGTATTTCTCCCTTGTAACTATAATTTTGGAAATAAAGACATAGAGCTCTTACTTTGGCATTTTTCTGTGTTTTGTACCCACTTTAATTTTTTCTCATACCACCAATCCAATAGAAGTTCAATGTTCGTAACATTAGATGCCTCGAACTCAGGCATTGTGCGAAAAATAATTGACCTCCACGGTGACTTCGGTGACTACTGACTATTTTATTTTGTAACTGTTGTGTGGTGGCTCTAATTACTCTCGCTCAAGTGACGTGGACACATAAATGACACCTAGTCCACGTCAAACATTGACCACCATCATCCTCATCATCGCTTACTAAGCAACATCACACCTCTATCTTACTCCAATCTCGCTAAATATCACCAACGATGCTTATTACACTAACGTTGCACCCTCCACCACTGTAGCTATGTCTATCCCATTGCTTTGGCTCGCGAGAAGAAATTTTGGAGGAATATAAAAAGAATTTGCAAGTTCTTATTATAAAAGTTTAGGTACTCTATAATAATTATGGTAAAAGTTAAATTATGATTTCATAGGCCAACTAGTTGCTGGTCATAATTAAAGTACACCAAAGTAATTCATTTTACGGATGTGTCTTGGGTAGAAAACATTTTTGTATAGAATTTTGATGCCATATTCTTCACTTTGGTAACATAAGTGGTAAAAGAATATAATATTTTTTTCTCACCCAAAGGAAAATATTTTTTATTTGTTTGTGAAGAAAAATTCTTATTTGCTCCTTGCCCTAACGCCCATTCGCCACCCCATGCCCAACCCCTGCCACCTGCCCCTCACACCCTCCCTCCTTCAGCCCCAATCGTGAACCCCTACCCCCTAGCCTCCTACTATCTCGTTAGCCCCCGTCCACACCCTTCCTGCTTGTCCACCGGTCAGTCCACCTACTCCTGCTCCCGACCTCATATCCCGCCCTCTACTCGGCAGGCGGCAAACAGACTGTACTCATGTTGCTAAAATAGTTTAAACTTATTTTTAAGGCATATTTTTAGATAGAAATTTTGAAATCTTAACAATTAAAGAAAGTATTTTTTTTTTTTGAAAAAACTATTTCTTCCCTACCAAACAATGTAAAATGTGGAGAATTTTCTTTGAAATTTTTTTTAAAGAAAATAATCTTATCCAAAATTATTTTTCTCAAACAAACACACCCTAAAACTTAGACATTTTTAGAGTTATATTTTAAAATGTGAGAGTGAGACCATTAAGCTCTACACAAAATAAAAGAAAAAAGATTAAAAAAGCAAATTTTACCGGCCTGTATTTGCAAATTGAACGAACATTTTAAAATTTTTCTTAAGATCCAAATTAAAGTAGAGCTGTGTGTTACCGCCGGGGAAGAAGAGGTGAAATATGGGGAGGCGGCGCGGGGTGGATGCAGGACAAAACAAGTCCTGGGCATTCTTCTTCTTCACGGCGACGCTGTTGGTGTGGGCCGCCTCTTTGCTGTTCGAGATTGGCTTCAACCGGCGGACGGAGCTGTCTCCCATCATCGCCGGCTTCTGCTTATACCAATCAGCCAATTGGTTCATCCGCACTTGCTTCAACCGAGACCCTCTCGTCGTCAATACCTCGGTATCCCTCCTCCACTCATCCCTCACCTCCGTATCAGGTTTGACTTTGCTTCGCCTTTTGAACTTCCTATTCATTGTTTCTCTGCTTGCTTGAACTGAAATGAGCACCAATTGTCTTGTTTCACGCTCAGTTGTGAATTGATGTTTAAAACTGCGAGTATTTGTTTGAGTTACAAGTTAGCCGGATTGAGTTGAATGAATTGAAGCTTAAGAATCAAATCAAATTGCTGAAACTGCAAATAACATCCATGCGCAGTACCCCCTTGTAATAGTTGAATTTGGACAAATCCCAACCGCAATTCACTTTGGGTCAAATCATAGCTGGATTAGTTGATTGTTATTAAGCTTAAAAATCAAATCAAATTTCTGAAACTGCAAATAACATTGCATTTCTATTTAGTCGTAATATTGGTTTTTTATAAAAAAGATCAAAGTCCCACACTGGGTCACTACGAGTCGAATCCGGTTTGGAGAGTTACTTAAAAGGAGGTAAATGAAACTTTAATCCGGGCAACATGGAGTGAGTCCTAGTGTCCATAGTCTCAGCAAGGACACTATGTAAATCATAAAAACTCCACGCCGTCGTCACTAGGAGTCGAATCCGGCTATAACACCTTTTGCACCCTCATTGACCAGCTGACTTACACCACCCGAGCATAATATTTGAATTATTGCATAATTGCGTGAATGTGTCTAATAGGATACAAAAAACCAACGAATAAACTGGATTGGACTGGCTGTGGGCAGTTTAGTAAATATGTTTGATTATGAATATAAACACGATTAAATTTTGTAACGTCCGGAGGCAGGCCTGTACTAGAGCCCGGCCTGTGCCTATTCTAGATATGTCCTTGATCCTAAATACCCAAGCATACCAAATGTGCTTTGAAAAATATCTAGTGGACACCTAAAATGGTACCCATAGCTACTTTTTAATCAACATTGCTTCCATATACACCTAGAATTCAGTAGTAACTAGTACCTGCCTCAAAAGAGACTAATAGTCATTAGGGCTGCATGGTGCACCACAAGCATACCTGCTGAGCAAAGGTCCGGGGAAGGGTCCCGCCACAATGGTGGAATTAGACAAACCTCGCCATCTTATGAACCCGTGCAGATTTTGGAAGTAAGAGAACACGTATGATGGTGGGAGTTAAAACAATGATTGACTTTATCTAGAATAATGTATTTTATTGCACTCGGTTATACAAAAAAGTGTTTCTGCTGCTTAATCATTAATAACACCCTCTTTTGCAGTTATTTCTGTTTTAGCTAATCAGTGGATGAGAAGCAGTTTGAGTACAATGTTTGGACACTCAGAGTTGGTTGATCATTCTTGGCCATGGGCTTATTCTGCTTTGTGCATTTCATGTGGTTATTTTGCTTATGATCAGTTGGATATGCTGCTATACCATTTATACAGTGGTTGGATTCCTTCAATCCTGGTGCATCATCTCGTGCTTCTTATTTGCTTTACCATGGCTTTGTATCGGAATGTGACGATCAACTACCTTATTCTTACTCTTGTCTGTGAGGTAAGTTTCTGTTTGGTTTCTCCGCAAGTTATATCGTTACAGCCTTTCCTGTATTTCATTGATCCAACAATGCTCTGTTTCATAGCCTTTTCTCCCCGATTCCACTTATCATCCGAATGAGCAAATAAAGTACATTTGGACTTTGACTTAATTAGCTTAAATACATATATGTTACCAAACACTTTTCCATCTCTGAAAATGAGGCAGATCGAATCATTTAGGCCAAATAACCCTTACATAAAGGGCCTTAAATTATTTTGTATTTGTGTTTTTATCTGTGTCAATGTTTTCGTATGCATATAATACTTATCATTATTTATGCCCTTAGCATGGCCTATTGAGAAAATTTTTCTTACTTTGCTAACAAGTCGGGAATAAACTGTATTGTATGTCACCACTCACCAGCATCATATAATGATCATCTCATAATTCATGTATGTGATTCGTGCATCGTTCTGAATGCTGCAGTTGCATTCAGTCTTTTTGCACGTGAGGAAATTGAGGCGAATGGCGAGTGTCCGGGGTACTTCTAGGAGCACATTAGTGAAGCTAGAGTGGTGTGGTAACTGGACAACATATGTGTTAGCTAGGTTTGCGTCACATGTCCTCATCACAATGAAGCTACTCAAAGATGCCCACAAGTTTGACAAGGGGTTGGAACTCCCACTTGCTCTTCTTGGCATGGCTGGTATGAATTTTCTTAATGTCTTCCTGGGAGTCGATCTCTTTAAAGCCTACTCCAGAGAGAAGAATGAACACAGAGATCATCACGAATGAGACATTATATTATATTACATTACATATATATATTCTCACTCACTCACTCGCCTATATAGACCACTTTAATTTGTTAGAGAACCCCAAAATTGTTCTGTACACCCAAGTTGTGTAGTTTTGTTGTTGTTGTTGAGTATTGATAACTCTTGAAAAATATGTTGCATTTGTTTGTTGATTGTAACTTCCCTTTTATCGTCATAAGGCCACGTGACGTGGACTTGTGTTGACTTGTTCATCCCACATCGGCTATGCAGCCTTATATTGTGCTGCTATTTAATAGCTTGGGTACCTCAACCTCTTGAGTTAACTTTTGGGGTTGAATTGGGCCCAAGTCTATTGTTTTAACATGGTATCAGAGCTAAGCCATTGATGTTGGGACCGCACTCGCAGTAATCTGCGCCTCGTGTGAGGGGGGCGTGTTGACTTGTTCATCCCACATCGGCTATTCAGCCTTATATTGTGCTGCTATTTAATAGTTTGGGTACCTCAACCTCTTGAGTTAACTTTTAGGGTTGAATTGGGCCCAAGTCTATTGTTTTAACAGCTTGTAATATGACTGTCAACGAAAGAAGTTTATATTATTTGGACACCGAATCCGACATCATTGAGGATATTTTTCGTATAGAAAAGAGCTCATTACAATTCTTAATTAGTGGCTTAGAAAAGGGATTGCATTTACTCTGTATTATTCTTATCATTTCCATATCCACAAGCTAGGTACTTACTATTCATACTCCGGCGGAGTTAAAATTTGATCAGGGGCAAGTTTTGAGCTACCAAAAATCTCGAAGTAATAAAAAAGGACTATAATTTCAAAAGACAAGAAAATTATGTACCACCTCCGGGACAATTATTATATATATAATCATGGGGAAGGTTCAAATGACATTGAACCTTAATGTCATAGGATGACTCGGGGTTGATCCGGTGCCCAGTTCGTAAAATTGACGGTTCCTACCCCCCTAACCCCCCACTCCGGCCCCAACCCGAACACACCCCCCACCCCCTTCAATTGCACCCCACAAGTTGATTTTGACTTTGGAGTCAAATTTTGACTCCAAAGTCAAAATCAACTTGTGGGGTGCAATTGAAGAGGGTGGGGGTGTGTGTTCGGGTCGGGGCCGGGGCGGGGGGTTTACCGGGGTTGGGGGGGTAGAAAGTGTCAATTTTATGAATGGGGCACCGGAGCGGCCCCGGGTCATCCTATGACATTAAGGTTCAATGTCATTTGAACCTTGGTGATATAATCATAGTAGATAAATATTTTTTCAGAAAAAAATTGAATTCACCGCATGGAAATTGAGTAGAATAAACTATCACAAAAACTATTACACACTATGTTTTTGAATTTAGCATAAGATTTCCTATTGACAAAAATGATTTACATATTCCAAATAATAATATCCCAAAATTTGTATTCCTTGATGGATTTTATAGTTTACAATGCAAGAACTTTTATCTCAACTAAATGTAATCAAAGATATTCATACACATCAAAATAGTGATTATGACCTTCAAAAAAAGAGCGATTATTAGTAACACTCATTATTATGAATCAGTACTATGTTGCACGAATTCTTCAAATAGGTGCTACTTCTCGTCCTCATATTTTATACTCCGTATATTAGGAAGAAAATAGGCATTTCACGCTTCCAACCCCTCCCTTATAAGTCCATGCCCATCTCTCGGTGTAACCTAGAATCAGTATATCACTAAATTTTAGAAAAAAAGGATAAGAATTGAAAAAAGGCTGAAAAAATTTAGATATAACTAAAATTATTATTAATTCAAATTATATCATTTATAAGAATTACGAAGTAGAAGAAAGTAAGAAAATAAGCAAAGAAACCAAAGTTTAATTTTGTAAAAAATAAATAAAAAATACTCTCTCCGTCCCAATTTTGATTACAATCTTTTTTTTCCTCACCTCTAGATAAATTTTGTTTATTTGTGTGTTTTTTTATCATTTGATAAAATAAAATATTTTTGTCCTCTTTTATTTTGTAAAACTTTTGACGTAGTCTTTTAATATGTAGTTTTTATTTTTACCAATTTGTAAAAACTTGTAAATAAAATAATTTAAAAAATAGAAAACTTTGTCTCATAAGTCTCACTTTGTAATCAAATTTGGGTGAGAGACTATTTTTGGCACACAAAAAGAGAACCGAGCAAGACCATTTTGGGGAAAGGCATTAATTTTCTATCATATCCACAATGGGATTTGATCCATGCTCTTCTGCTGCTTGGAAGAGGGAAACCACCGGCTCTCTCTGTGCGCACATCACTAAATAAATACAAAAAGTCCAGTCGATCCACTCTGGCTACTCAATCCTTAGCTGCTGCAAATAAGGAAAAGGCTCCCCGAAGGTATTACTCCGTATTAGCTTCTCTTTACTTTGTTTCTTCCAACCTCGTTTACAAACACAGTACCAAATTGATGAGCTTGGCTCCATCTCTTTCTCAAATGAAGGCCTGAGTTTGAACCACAGATTGCTCTCTCATCGGCGGTCACACTGTACTGTGTTGATTATGGCGACTTGTTTTCATTTGCAGTCACTCTGCTAAAGATATATACACACACACACACATACATGGAGGAGGAAAAGGATGAAATCGCAAAAGATATCACTGAGGTATATATATAGTATGGTGCCATGCTTTTGGGAATTAGTCCCCTTTTGGTTGTCCACTTACTTTTTTTTAGCTGTCCAACTTTCCGCTTTGAATAAAGAAATCATGATAAATCATCTAACATACCCTCGAGATGAAGTATGAACGTTGTCTACATGAATGTGTGGCAAGCTCATTTCAAAGATTTTTTTTTTGTCATTTAAACTCTTTTTTTTCGAAAAATGAGTTTTTTTTAATATTAAGTGGACGACTAATTCCGTGCAAAGGGAGTACCATCTCCTCTGATTTTATGCATCAGTATAGTGTTCTATTGATTGATTCCACACATGTACAGTTGATAGGAAATACCCCATTGGTGTACCTCAACAAAGTAGTGGAAGGTTGCGTAGCACGCGTTGCTGCCAAATTGGAAATGATGGAGCCCTGTTCAAGCGTCAAAGACAGGCAACTCCACACACGCGTCCTCGATTGTTATTGCTGCTGTTTTCGTGTATCCTTTTTCTTATGTAGGTTTGTACCCTGAACGGCTTTCCTAATGTAGGATTGCATACAGTATGATTAAGGATGCCGAAGAAAAGGGCCTAATTACACCCGGGAAGGTTAGTGTTCACTTCCTGTTGGCATCACGGCGAAGATGATGATGATGATGTATTGATTGAGCACATTCAAACATTTTTTGAGAAATTAAATGAGAAGTAATATCTTGGTGGTTTTGATTTATTTCTTTCTAATAATACTGAGATCAGTGTTTGTTGAAATGTGGGTAAATATAATATGGACTTTATATGGTGGTTGGTGAAGACCACACTCGTAGAGGTTACCAGTGAAAACACTGGCATTGGTCTTGCGTCTGTTGCATCTGCTTGGGGATATAAGCTTATCATTGTGATGCCGCACACATATAGTCTCGAGAGAAGGATTATTCTGAAAGCTTTTGGAGCTGAACTACACCTCACTGATGCAGCCAAGGGATTTGAAGGCGTCATTGAAAAGGCCCAAGAGATAATGGACAAGACGCCAAACACTTATTTCTTGCGCCAGTTTGAGAATCCTGCTAATCCCAAGGTACAACGGCCTTTTCCTATGGATTCACGTGGAGTAGCCGCACGTTCTCCTAAATAGAACACGCGAGGTTTTATATATGGCATGAGCTCGTCTAACAGATACTTCATTATCCATCCCATCATTAATAAGTAAGTTTTTGTTTTGTTAGATCACATTTTTATAAAATATGGAAATTGTGTGCGTAGATTCATTATGAGACAACTGGACCTGAGATATGGAAATGCACTGAAGGAAATGTGGATGCTCTAATTGCCGGGATCGGAACGGGAGGAACTGTCACAGGGGCCGGAAGGTTTCTCAAAGAGAAGAATCCAGACATAAAGGTAGATTTGCTTTGAAACCCTCTAAGGCTGTAGAAATGGTTATTTGGGTGAAACTGATGATTGTTGCATTGATACAAATGGGTATAAATACACAGAGGTGATACAATCGAGGAGCCTTGGTGATACAAACGAAGAGCCCCATCAATGAAATAATATACAAAATATATACATATGCTAACACTCCCTCTCAAGTTGGAGCATGAATATCAAAAATGCCCAACTTGGATAAGAGAGACTGAAAAAGAGGACCCGGTAAAGCTTTTGTGAAGATATCAGCTGTCTGAAGACGTGTAGGCACATAAGCTGAGACAACGTGATTACGCTGAATACATTCACGCACGATGTGACAGTCAATATCAATGTGTTTCGATCGTTCATGAAAGACCGGATTAGCAGCAATGAACAAGGCAGATTTGTTATCACAATATAGTTTCGGAGTTGCATAACACGGTACATCCAAAGCAGCAAGAAGCCCACGTAGCCAGCGAATCTCTGAACATGCGTTTGCCATTGCTCTATATTCAGCTTCGGCCGAAGACCGGGAAACTGTAGTTTGCTTTTTAGTACGCCAAGAGATTGGAGAGCCGCCAAGCATGATGAAATAACCAGTCACAGATCGTCGTGTCAACGGACAACTTGCCCAATCAGAATCTGAGAAAGCAGTAAGAGTAAGATCACCATCGCGACGTAACAAAATTCCCTGACCGGGGTGACCCTTTAGATAGCGGAGTACACGCAAGGCAGCATTCCAGTGATCTAAACGAGGTGCCTGCATAAACTGTGACAAGACATGTACTGCATAACAGATATCAGGACGAGTGATAGTGAGATATAGTAGTCGTCCCACAAGACGTCGATATTTGGTAGAGTCACGTAGCTCGGCACTTGTAGAACGAGACAAGTTGTGGTTGCTAGGCAGAGGGGTGTCAACAGGCTTACAACCAGACAAATTAGCCTCTTGAAGAATATCGAGAGCATACTTCCGCTGATTTAACACCATCCCTGCCTGGGAACGGGCACACTCGATACTAAGAAAGTAAGAGACAGGACCAAGATCCTTGAGATTAAAACATTCATCCAAATATTTCTTGAAAGCAGTGCATAGAGAAGAATTATTTCCTGCAACAAGAATGTCATCAACGTAAACAAGAACAACCAGCATATCAGGACCACTACGATAAACAAAAAGAGTATGATCAGCATGGGCTTGACGGAAGCCATAACGCCGTAACGCCGAACGGAGCTTAGCAAACCAATTGCGGGGGGATTGCCGAAGGCCATAGAGGGACTTACGAAGGCGGCATACTTTCCCTGGGTAAAGATGGGTATAACCTGGAGGAATCTTCATATAAATTTCATCGGTAAGTTCCCCATGCAAGAAGGCATTATTAACATCCAATTGATCAACCTGCCATCCCCTAGCAACGGCAACAGACAATAGAACACGAACAGTGGCTAATTTGGCTACTGGGGCAAAAGTATCAATAAAGTCAACACCGAACTCTTGATGATTACCCAACACAACTAGCCGAGCTTTGTCTCGTTCCTTGGTACCATCAGATTTATATTTGGTCCTGTACACCCACTGACACCCCAAAGCCTTCCGATTCGGAGGAAGATCTGTAATATCCCAAGTATGATTACGCTCCAAGGCGTTGAACTCCTGAGTCATGGCATCACGCCATGAAGCATACTGAACAGCCTCACGGAAAGTACGAGGCACTGGAGAAGCATCAATAGCACCAAGAAATCCTTTGTACCTGTCATGTAACTTATTATAATGAACAAAGTTAGTAATAGGAAACCGAGTACCGGACGAAGATGGACTAGATGATGAGGAAGCCGGAGTGTCTGTCTTTGCGGAATGAAGAACATAATCATTGAGATGAGACGGAAGACGACGGTTACGAGGTGGTAACGGTTGGACAGTGGATGGCGGAGAACTGGCTTGCGTCGAAGGGGCGTAGCTGCTGTTGTCGTCTAGGGAGACGGAAGATGAGGGGGATGGAGGTGGCGACGGGGTAGAGACAGGGGAAGGACTGGAAATGACTGTTTGTTGTGGGGACGGAGTTACTGTGGACTCGGATAGTGGAAGTACTGGAAAGTCCTCCGAAGAAGGATTTAAAATAGGCTGAGGAGAAGTAGACTTTGTGGGAATGGCAAAGGGGAATTGTGTTTCGTCAAAAGACACATCCCGAGTGTGAAAAAATTGGTGTGTTTCAAGATTGTATACTCGCCAGCCTTTAGTACCGTAAGGATAGCCGACGAACACACATTTCACACTTCGGGGATAGAATTTATTTGTGGGTTTAGGCATTTGACGAACAAAACATAAACAACCAAAGACACGAAGATGATCCAAGCTTTGAGGTTTAGATGACAAGATCTCAAGGGGAGACTTACCCCCGAGTAGCTTTGTTTGCGTACGGTTGATAAGATACACAGCAGTTTTGACGCATTCCCCCCAAAATTCAATGGGAAGAGAAGCTTGAAACATAAGAGACCGAGCAACATTTAATATGTGACGATGTTTGCGTTCGACCCGGCCATTCTGTTGTGGAGTTCCTACACAAGAAGTTTGAATGCACACACCCAAAGAATCATAATATTGACGTAAAGAATCATTAAGAAACTCAGTGCCATTATCAGACCGAACCATTTTTATTGTTTTGGAATATTGAGTGTGGATCATGGCAAAAAATCGCTTAAGACAAGATGTGACCTCACCTTTTGTTTTGATGAGGTAAACCCAAACAGCCCGAGAGAAGTCATCAACGATAGTGAGAAAGTAGTGTGCACCAGATGATATACAAGCAGAATATGGCCCCCATAAATCACAGTGAATTAAATCAAAAACAGCAGCAGCTTTATTATTACTAACGGGAAATGAGGATCGAGTTTGTTTAGACAAAAAACAGATTTCACAAGTTTGCAACTTCTTGACAATAGAGTTTGTTTTATTCGAACCAAGAAAAGGTAAAACATCTGAGGATGGGTGTCCTAACCGTTGATGAAGAACAAATGGGTCGATATTAGCTACGAGAGCTGACGCTGGAGGGGAAGCAAATACATACACACCATTTCGCAAATCACCATGTCCAATCCTCGTCTTCGACAAACGGTCCTGTATTACACAACAATGATCATTAAAAGTCACATAACAAGCATTATCACGAACCAGGCAACCAACAGATATCAAGTGACAATGTAAATTTGGGACATATAAAACATTATGAAGTACCAAACGTGGTGACAAGCGCACACTTCCCTGTTTAATGGCGTGAACACGAGATCCATCAGGGAGACAAATAGATTGCGGGGAAACATCCTTAATATCAGACAGGTGTGATAAAAGTCCAGTCATATGATGAGAGGCACCACTATCAAGTAACCAATCACAAGTGTAAGATGCAGTTGTATCGTATGCTGAGAAAATAGCCATGGGAACAAAAAATGGAATTGAACTCTGCAGTCTGCACGTGATCCCCCCACTTTTTTTTTTTTTTTGAATCTGGAATGTAATGGCTTGTGGGGACAAAGTCAATAGGAATGGACGGACTGGACAAAGTGATGGGAACAAAAATACTTGCCGGCGACGTGAACTGGACGGACAGGAGGACGAATCTGACGGAACTTTGCCGGCGACGTGATCTGGACGGACTGAACGGGCAAATCTGACCTCTTCCAATCTTCCTCGTAGACGATCGGAGAGGGACCAGGGACGTACAATGACGAATCAGCACGAAGAATTTACACCAGTGACGGACGGCGATTGAATCAGCACAATGATCGAAGCTTGACGGGTAGCTTCTCTATGATGCAATCTGCTCTCCTTTGAGGTTGCCGTATTTTCCCAAAGAAAGATGCTCCGATGTCTGGGACAGAGACCCGCGACCGCACAGGGACGGATGAAAGGGATGATCGCGACTTAGGACGGCGTCTTGGACGGAGACGCACAACAGGGACAGTGACCACCGACCGGAACACAGACGAACAAAACTAGGTCCCAAGAAAGAAGCTCCGATACCATGTAGAAATGGTTATTTGGGTGAAACTGATGATTGTTGCATTGATACAAATGGGTATAAATACACAGAGGTGATACAATCGAGGAGCCTTGGTGATACAAACGAAGAGCCCCATCAATGAAATAATATACAAAATATATACATATGCTAACAAAGGCCTTGTTTGTTTACCATATCTTTTTTTATCCCCTGATTATGGTCAAGTAGGTATACGGTGTTGAGCCTGCTGATAGTGCAGTTTTAAGTGGGGGAAATCCAGGTTTGTCTTAAACTCATTCCGGTTATTGAAAATCAATAATTTTGGTGTTTGTATTGAAATAAAGACTGGTTTGATTAATAGCTTAATATAGCGTCTAACCATATACTAACCTACTTAAATTATATTTTGGTACAGGAAAGCATAAAATCCAAGGTATTGGTGCTGGTCTTGTTCCTGCTGTGTTAGACATCAGTATACTTGATGAAGTGTTTACCGTAAGTTTCTCCATAATTTCAACCATTTTTTAAAAAAAATCAAGAAGAAAAAAAAGACCACGTCTTAAAAAAAGGGATGAGGAGCGCATCTATTTAATATTTACTGCGTTTCTTTGTCAGTAGTGATTTCTTTTACGAATCCCTTTGGGTTAAAATTTAGGTAACCAATGACGAAGCATTTGAAATGACAAAGCTCCTCTGCCTCAAAGAAGGTTTGCTGGTATGTTTATTTTGGGGGATAACATTAACATTTATATCGAGTATTGACTCCACAGTCCACACGCACACCTACTGATGAAAGATTTAGAATTATGTTAACTTGTTAAGAATAAGTGTTGATTAGGGAGTTTATTGATTCATATTTAGCCGATGTGTTTTTTTCTCCGGGTTTTTCAAAGGGTGCCCCACTATTATGACTATGGATCAAGTCATATAGTCAGATCATATATGACTCTTGGTGTCATGATAGAATTAGAACAACATTTCGGGGAAATATTTTTTGTGCATTTTCGATTGAAGTTACAAGCTCCAAAGGAGTCTATGTATGGTTGAGAAACCCACACCCGGGAATATTAATTATAGAAAAGGTAGGATTCTAAATCAAATAATAATGTACAAATACTTGCCGAGTTCTTAACACATTCTTGATCCAATGAATTATTCACTTCAGGCGGGCATTTCGTCGGGGGCTGCAACCGTTGCTGCTATCAAAGCTGCTAAGAGGCCAGAAAATGCCGGAAAACTCTTTGTCATATGTCTTTCTTTCTTTCTTTCTTTCTTTCTTTAGAAGGGCCAACCAATTCGATAGTATCTTACGATAGTTTGTCAGAGAGCTTGCATTTGCATTTGTATTTGCATTTCATGCTTTGTTGCTGCTTATTAGCTTGCTCATTTTCTCAACTTGGGGTTTAATGTGCTTAAACAGGTTATATTCCCGAGCTTCGGGGAGCGTTATCTCTCAACTGAGTTGTTTGATTGGGTGAGGGAAGAAGTAGAGAATATGATAGTCCAATAAATTTTTCAATCTCCCCTTGCAGTTATAAGCTTTCTGAGATCATGGGACCGATCGTGTCCCGTGTAACCGACCACATGCTCAGGGTACCCCTGGCCCGTGAGCCCTATGACCATTGCAGCATTCAATAAAATTTGAGGTGATGGTTGGGTGTGCACTGCATAACTCTTTTCTAGCACATGTGTTTAGTACTTCCATAATGCTTTTCTATAATGCTTTCTCACTCACATTTCCCCCTTTTTCATCCGTATTAAATTTTTACGGAGTAATAAAATTTGCCTGCATTTATGACGTCGAACATTGACTTGTGGGACGAAGGGAGTATTTTATAGTCACTTTTTTAAAAATGAGATACTTTAGAAAATGATGGAGTAAAGAAGTATGATAATTTTTTTTTAAAAAAAAGAAAGATAAAATTTAATGTGTCATTTAGCTGTGTGCATATATAGGCAAGAGAGGGAAAAAGCACATCCATGAATTATATAGTCCCCAAGAAATCAAAAGGTTGAAATTTACCCACCACAAGTTCACAAACTGACCAGTTCCAAAAATGATGACAAATGGAAGAATCATTTATGCAACACACCAAATCAACCATTGGTTTCACTGGGTATATATAAGCCGCTGCATTCAATTCATTATGAACTTCCTCGTTAATATATTGCATAAAAAAAAAGAAAAAGAGAGGGGCACAAAGACACATTCATTTCATTCCTTGAGAATAATCGATGAGCGCACGAGAGCAACCACTCAGGCCACATGCCGCCACCGCCCAATCAGCGGATGACATCAATGAGACCATCCGTGATGACCGACACGGTCCTCAGATGGTCAATCCATCTGAAGGCCCAAAAGAGAAAGAGGTTAGAAAAGAGATGATGGCTGGCTCTTCTCTAGGTGGAGAGGGGCATATTTTAAATTTTTTATTATTTTCTATAAAAGCCTAAAATATAAAAAATATGATTAACAAAGTTCGTTTGATATTAGAATTTAATATCGTAATATGAAACTGAACTTCAATGGTATCTCGTACTCCGTAATACGGAGTATATATTCCGTATATTTTTATCCTCCCTAACCTTTCACGTAAGCTCCTAGCTCCCTAATATTTAAACTCCCAACTAACCTTCTCATCATAACATAGTCTCACATCCCTCTAATTTTACTTCCAAATTCTACTGAATTTAGGGTAAAAAAAAAAACCTCACCACAAAATCTACAAAATTTGGAGTGTATTATTTTTTAATTTAATGACAATATAATATAATATTAGGTTTCTTCTCCAAGAAGAATCACAATTACTATTGGAGAAGCGTTGGAAGCAACGGCCTTGACGGCAGGGGACAGAGCAGTGGATTACGGAGATGCGGCTGCGATACAAGCGGCGGAGGTTAGGGCCACAGGGCGGACAAGCATAGTCCCCGGCGGTCTTGCGGCGGCCGCTCAATCGGCAGCTTCCCGCAACGCGCGCGCCACGTGCGAGCGGGACAAAACGAAACTGAGTGAGATCCTTTCGGACGCGAGCTCAAAGCTGCCGTGCGATAAGGCGGTGACCCGCAGGGATGCGGAGGGTGTCATCGGAGCGGAGGTGAGAAACGACCCCAATTTGTGCACTCGTCCCGGCGGCGTCGCCGCTTCCGTGGCGGCCGCCGCAAGGCTCAACAGCCAGAACTCCGCCGACGTGAAGCACAATTAGCGGACTAGAGACTATTCGTCCCCATTCTTAGTATTATCATCATCATCATGTACGGGGGAGTAATATTTTTTGTGGGAGTTGTTTTTTGAGGAGTAAATTCCATAAAAGGTCCCCAGTTATAGGTCGTTTTACATATTTAGTCCCTACATATCAAATATTACTAATTTGGTCCCCAATTATTATATTTATTTCCATGAATCGTCCTTTGTTAACATTTTCGTTAAAACGTGGATAAAATTAAAAATTCACACTTCTTTCTCTCCTCAATTAAGCTTCCTCTTCCCTTATAACTTATTTTTCAAACCCGTCGTTGAGTTTCTAGCTTTGAATCCTAAATCAAAATCATCACTCTTCCCTCAATTGTTTGTCTAACTGGAAGAACGATCATTTAAGTTTTGGGTTTAAAAGCTTCAAACTCAGTGACGAGTTTGGGAAAGAGTATGAGAAGATGAAGAAAGCTTAATTGAGAAGAGAGAGAAGTATGAATACATAATTTTGTCCATGTTTTTAATGGAAATGTTAAAAAAGACCATTCGTGAAAATAAATATAATAATTAGGGACTAAATTAGTAATATTTGATATATAGAGACTAAATATGTAAAACGATCTATAATTGGGGACCTTTTATATAATTTACTCTTTTTTGAGCAAGATATAGACATCGTACTTATTGTATGGACTTATGGTGAACAGTGATTTTTTCCATATATCTATTTTTATTCTTCCTATTTAATTTTGGAAAAAACTTATACTAAAGCCCGTTTGGAAATCATGTTTCCATTAACGTTATTATTTTGCATAAAATTTGACGATGTAGATTAATTTTGAAAATACTAACGCTAAACGTTGTCCGTAGATAGCTTTTCAAAACACTAACGCTAACCACTGACGCTTTCCGTAAACATGCCTTAAATATGACTAAAACACAAACCATTTCTTAATGTAGAACTTAAAATTTTTTATATTATAAATAAGACTTAATAATTTCTCTAATTTTTTTATTCTCTAAATAATGTCCAGTGGTGGTGGATATTTACTTGAATAATAATTACATTGGGAAATAAAAATATATGATGCTATATTGAAAAAGTCATTATGTTTTAGTTCTTTGCAGGTAAATTCTCTTTAATTTTTCACAGATTTTATTTATAAAGGTATACTCTCTCCGTATAAAAATATATCTTCCCGTTCACTATTCACATGAATAATTTTTATTCATTTTGTTTGCTTATTTCGTTGCCGATTTGATAAAATAGTATAACCATGTCATCTCGATCAAGTTTTGTAGATCTTTTGATTTGTTTTTTATTTATGTAATTTTTTATTTTTAATAAAAATCATCTAGTAAAATCTTATAGAAAGCATCAAAATAAAAGTTTCATGTTTTTATTTCTCAAATAGAAGTTTCCACCATAATAATGTAACACTGTACATATGCATTTTACTATACTTTTTAGTATTTTATAAGAGTGATGAATACTATATTTCCCTAGAGTACTATTTTATATGAAAAAATGATGTAAAATTAAAAAATCGAAAAATACTAAAGTGGAAGTAAAACATTGAAAATATATCAAAATAGGAGTTCCACGCTTTTTTCCTGAAATAGAATTTAAAATCTATTTATATTACAAATCATGACCATGCACATTACAAAAAAAAAGAGAAGAAATACATAATAATAATTTCCAATTTAATTATTAGAAAAATGACTCTTCTCTTTTCGTAAAAAAATTCACATTTTTTCTTAGGCTATAAAAAAAGTCCTACCATTCACGTATAACAAGAAATGTATATTATTTTTAATTTTTTTCTTATGCATCACTTTTAATTATACTCCGTATAACAAACAACAATAACCTAGTTGAATCCCACTACAATACTCCGTATAATTTATTTATAAATCAAAGAGAGAACGACAAAAATAGGACTAAAACATTGAAAATATACAAAAATAGGACTTTTATGTTTTTATTCCCGAAATAGGATTTACATTACCAAACATGGTCATATACATTACCAAAAAATATAGTAATGTGCACATGTACATTGCTACATTACCACAATGCAAAGTCACATTACCACAGTGCAAAGTTCTATTTTAGGAAAAAAAATATGAAAGTCCTATTTTGGTACTTTCCTCTATGTTTTAGTCCCATTTAGGGTGATTTCTATAAATCAAAAGTAGAGTATTGTTTGGGAATTGGGAAGGAAGATAGTATACTCCCAGTTATTATTTACACAGTCAAATTTTAAATATTTTATTTATTTATTTTTATTATTTATTTGATACAATAATATAATCCTACAATTAAACTTTATAAATACATAATTTATTCTTTAATTTTATAATTAAAATTAAATAAATTAAATTAAAAATAAATTAAATACTGAAAAATTTGAAAATAAAATAAATAAAGAAGAATGAATGTTTTAATTTTGTTTGATACTCAAAGAAATAAAAGTGTGTGGACAACATAAGAGTAGGGGTGTAAACGGATATTAATCGGATCGGATGTACCATTACCAAATCCGCATCCGTTTATTTTTGTCGGATATCGAATTCGGATACGGATCTTGACGGATACTGAAAATCAAAACCGTATCCGCATCCGTCGGATATCGGTCGGATATCGGATATATCCGTATCCGTTTCCAATTTTTAAAATCAAATTAAAAATTACTTTATTTTTAATTTAGATTAAAATCAAACTATTATTAAATCAACTATAATTTGTTATGAGATAATTATTTTCTTTGTTTTCAGGATTTTTGATATTCTACGATAACTTTATATGATAAAAAGATATACACAACACATATATACACATATTTTTATATGTCTGTATATATTTTTATGTGTACACATTTATTTTGTATTTAAAAATGTCTTATATATTGAAATATCAATAGAGAAACAAAATATAAACATAAAAATTAGGAAAAACTATATATAACGGATCGGATATTCGGATAAACGGTTATTTAAACGAATGCATATGCGGATCGGATTTTAAGCGGATCGGATATACAATTACCAAATCCATATCCGTTTAGTAATCGGATATCCTTAATCGGATACGGATAATATTCGTTTAAAACGGATACAGATATTTCCTTTTTAAACGGATACGGATGCGGACTGTAATCGGATTTTCGGCTATCTTTTAAGGCCCTACATAAGAGTGAGGAATCGCGCAATCGGTAGAATCGGATCGGAGGAAAATTGGGAGGGAGAGAATGAGGCTGCGGTACGCAATGGTGTGCTCATCGAATCAGAATCGGAGCATGGAGGCCCATTGCCTGCTCAAGAGGGAGGGTTTCGACGTCTCCTCCTACGGCACTGGTCAGCACGTTAAGCTCCCTGGTCCTTCCCTCAGAGAACCCAACGTCTATGACTTCGGCACCCCCTATAAGCTCATGTTCGATGAACTCCGCCGCAAAGACCCCGAACTGTATTTCTCTTCCCCCTTCCTTCCTCCTTTGATTTTCTATTTTTCTATGCCTGTGAACCTGTTCTTTGAGAAGAACAAGAAAAAAACACTCTCTTTGTTTTAGGGGTTTGTTAGGCATTCACTTTCCTGACTGCCTTTTTTTGAATTGGCTTTTTCAATCCAATTCTTTAAATTTCAGTCTTGGAATATGATTCTGCACTTTAGTTAATCAAGTTGGACTGTTAAGAGCAACAATGGCCTTGCAGGTACAAGAGGAATGGGATTCTGCCGATGCTCAAAAGGAATTTGGGCGTGAAGCATGCCCCTCAACGCTGGCAGGACAATGCTGATGATGGGCCTTTCGATGTAGTGATTTCGTTTGAAGAGAAGGTTTTCGATATGGTGATTGAAGGTCGGTTTTGCTTGTAAAGCATTGTCTTTTATTTATACAAAATAATTAGCGCTTTAAATTTGTTGCCGATTAAATTGGGATTTAGGTGATGAATGATTTCCATATGCCATTGCATATGTTTCTTTGCTTGTCTCTATCAATCAATGCCCAACAATTTTTCACCACTCCCCTTTGCTGTTTGGGTATTGATCACACGGCCTATTTTTTAGTTTTTTTTGGCTTATGATTGGATGTGTTTTATCTACTGATAACCGATGAGTAACATTGTGGCTGTTTTTCTTATAGAGCACTCCATTTTTTCCCCAATGAAAATAAAAATATGAACATTCTTGAGTTCATACATTGTCTTTATTAATGTAATTGGTGAAGTGATGGTTTAAAATGATGTGATCATATGAAAGGGGTGCCTAAATATGTGAGGTGACGATGCAATCTTGCTTATGCCTTAAAGGGATGTAGTACATTGGGGAAAGATCCAAGCTTAAGATGTAACAATAGTTGTTGGTTTACATAAGTGGGGTGGTAGTTTGAGGTTTAGGATAGGGCTGGATGTGAAACAGAAACAACACCATACCAAACGCTCACTTATGCTTTCTAGTAAACATTTTGTATGTTGAATTTCTTTTTATATGTCTCAAGAACACCTGAAAGTGTAGAAATTTGTGTTGAGCTTTTTGATAGTTTGCAAATTGCAATGGTCTTCTAAACAGTTTTGTTGTTCTTGCTGTTGATTTTACTTCTTAATTGTTTTGTTGTTTTTTATTGTTGTCTTGTCTTGTCTTGCCGTGCTGCAATGTAACTACATTGCAAGTATGTGCAGATCTCCATAACCGTGATCAACCTCTCAAGAAGCCTGTTCTAGCAATCAACTTGGAAGTAAAAGACAACCACGAGGAGGCAGCAATAGGAGGGCGCCTTGCTTTAACATTGTGCCAGGAGGTATACACCCCTCTTGCATTGGGAAATAACATTTCACACTCTCTTAGCTGCCACTTACGTATGTGTATCCCATATTAGATGATGGGATACACCACCACCAACAAACCCAGTATAATCTCAACTATGTTGGGTTCTGGGGAGTCAAGATAGATTTATGCAACCTTAATTACCCTTTATATAAGGGATATTATTTTCGTTAGACCCTTGACGCACTTACTTCCCAAAACTTCATACAAAATAAGAAGCAAGGGAAGTTTAATTTGTCATTTTGATGCAACAACAATAACCCCAGTAAAAATCCCACAAGAATTGGGTCTGGGGAGGGAGTGTATCCGCAAACCTTACTCCTACTTGATAGAGAGGCTCTTTCTGATCGAGAGCCTGACTCAAACACAGAAGCGCAAAGTAAACACAATAACACAAGCTAAGAACACAAACAATAGTTTGCCATTTGGTCGATTATTTACCATGAGATAAAACATTTGTCAAAAGCAACTTTTTTAGCTCCACCAGCTCAAAAAACTTCATATGAAAATATAGGATAAATCTTTTTATTTGCTAAGTATTAATTTGTGTATTTGGATGGTTTTTGCAGATTGAAGCTGTTGAATGTTGGGAGGACGCAATTGATAATATCATCAACAATTTTGAGAGAAAGAATCGTAGGAAGCTCCTCTATAGCATCTCATATTATTGACACCAATGATGTACAGCAACCAACATTCATGTCTCAAGCATTACGCCGTGATGTTATGCCCATTCACGAAGTAGGTCCCGTCGACGCTGTCCACAAAGCGATGCTTATAAGGACTGCAAAAAGAGTAAGCTGCCCATCAATCGTCTGGAGGATGGGTGGATGGTTCTTGGTCCGTGAAAAAGAAAAGTGCTGATTGAATTTCTAAAACTGCGAAGCTCGTGTAAAACGTCTTGGGCGCGTTTGTTGTGCATGTGGCATATTGATTACACAGTCAATGCTTGTGCTAACTCCATCCCTTTTCTACTCAGAGGTTGCTTGGGAATAATTTTTGAGCTTTTACTTCTCCAAAATAGAGTTTTGAGTCTTTGACAATCTTGTATTCTTGTTAAGTTTATGGATCCTGGCTCAAGAAGTGTAACTTACGTGCTTAAAGTGGCGTTCTGCAAACTTAGGAATAACTGTTTTCCGCTGTTGATTTAGCATTTTTGTTTTTCCAAGAGAAAGAACTTACTTTACTTATATAAGAGTCTACACTGTCATCATCATAAAAAGGAAACTACTACACTGCCATCAGTCACTGCTGCCACCTGCCATTGTTGCTTGTTGCCATGAGATTGTCGGAGTATCGTCGTCTGCCATTGTAGGTCGTCGGAGCATCGCCGCCGGTCGCTGGAGTTGACCAGTGGTCCACTATCGTAAAACCATCTCACTCCAACACCATATTGCTACTCATCACATTATCACAATGTCACCACACCGCCATCAAATTATTTATTTTGGTTTTCATGTCATTTTGTTTTTATCTAGAGATGTTTTTTTTCAAAATGTGTTCAACTTGACATTTTCTGTTGCTTTACTAAGCAATTCTTTTAAAAAATGAATCAGTCCGTGCTCACATAATTTGAAATTGGAATGTAAAAATTAAAATGAAATCTAGATTTCCAAATAAATAATTTGGAAATAGGAAGTACTCCTATTCCAAATTAAGTTATATGCTTATTATTTACGAGATTATACTCTATCAATTTCTTTTTCCATTTTTTATTTATTCAATAAAATAATATAGTCATGTCAGTTCTTATTTTTGTAAATTTTTTGATGTAATTTTTTTAATATGTAAAGGAAAAAACTAAACTAAGAATAAAACACGGAGAAAGTATTAAAAATAGAAGTTCCATATTTTTTTATCTTTAAATTAGGAGTTCAGTGCGAATAGAGCTAATATGTAATACCAAAAAATACTGTAGTATATATATATCACAATGCAAACTTCTATTTTAAAGAAAAATTTTATGTCTAACTCTTATTTGGAGTGATTTTCCATTCTAATTTTCAAATAAATATTATTAAAAATAAATTCAATATTAAAAAAAACAAAAAATGATTTTAAGTTTAGCTTACCAAACACGTCGAGGTGAACGCCAATTGAATAAGATGAACCCCAAAGCTTCAAAATACTGCTTGCAATCGAAGAAGTGGGGAACGCCAAAGGCAAGCACGCACCATCACATCATCGTCGTTTAACTCCGCCCCAAATTGATCAAACCAGACAACTTCATCGCTCGGACCATAGTGTTTTTGTTCGTATCAACTGCATTTCATCTGAGTTCTGTTCAACGCCTTCAATGGCTTTTCAGAGCAAGAAACTGATCAACGACCCAAATGGTAATTGATTTCGCTGGCATTACTCCACCGCTCCCTCTTGGTTTCTTTCGAAGTGTACCGATTCTTCACACTAAAAATTTAGCCAATAAGATCTGTATGAAGCCATTTATTTAAGCATAATTATTAGCATCACATTCTTAACGTGAATTCTTAGCAGTGCTATTTTCCGATATGTTGCTCTCTTTGTCCCTGTGTTAGAGAATACGAAGCATAACTTTTCCTTTTTCCTGTGAGGGAGTACATGAACATACTCCCTCCGTCCCAAATTATAATGACTGTTTACTATTCACATGGTCAAACTTCATTCACTTTCTTTCTCTATTTTCGTTAGTAAATTGATAAAATAAAATATTGTTGTCACTACTAGTTTTGTAGATCTTTTGATGTAGTATTTTGATATGTAATTTTTATTTTTTAATTCTATACCATTTGTCATATAAAATGATTTGAAAATAACTTTAGTCAAACATCGTACACCGAAACAGGCGTTATAAAATGGGATGGAGGGAGTAGTAGCTTTGCAATCTCGGTAGGTGTCAAGTTAAAACAGCAGTCACTTAGCTTGCTACAGTTTGGGATTTTTTTGCTTATTGCTTATTTAATCCATGTAGCCGACCCGCTGAGTGTGACAAGGCTTTGTTGTTGTAGCTTATTTAATGAAGTTGAAACCTCATTAGCTACAAAAAACCATGGAGTATCTACCTGCTTATTTCTTATTTTAAGCATTTAAAACTCATTGGCCAAAAGAAAGCATATAGTTGTGTATTGCTTCTGCTTATGTCTTTTGCAAAAGTGGTTGAACAAACTCCATTGGTATGTCATTGAATCACATATCCTGACATCTCATTGTCTATGCATACAAGCACCACTGTAATTATGTTCTAAAATAACATTCAAGCCACTTATGTTTGGCTATATAGCTTCAATTCCACTCATGGACACTGGACAATGAACATGTATACTGGAAAATGAAATGTTGTTTGATGATCAAACTGGCAATATATTGCTGCGCTTGAAATTTGAAATCGTCTCCAACTTTACTAAATTCTTCTTGATTTTTACAGACGTTGTGAGGGAGTTCATTGAGGGTCTTGCGGAGACATATCCTGGGTTGCAGTATTTGGATGGGTTTCCTGATGTGAGATATGTTTTTTTCTTGCAATTTTTGTTTTGTTTCTGTGACCGTGTTTTCATTGTTATTGTTATAATATTGGTCCTCTTGGAATGGTATATAAGTTACATTTCTTGTTTGCTTGCCAATATAGGTTAAGGTTGTCTTGCGTGCTGATGTTTTGGGTGCAAAATGCAACACGGTTGCAGTTATATCAGGTATTTATGTACATTGAATGTTCGCTATGTTTGTTTAGTGTGTGAGTTAACTTGGAGTTTAGCATGTATTAGCACCCAAAGTTTAAACATAAATATAATATACGGAGTATAATTATAAGAAACTTAAGTTTTTATGACAAATAATCCAGGGACATAGGAACACATGCTAACTATAAGGCACACACAATTATCATTTTCTTAAATCCTGGGCAATAATTTAGGGGCATGGGGAGTACAAATATTTATTCATTACCTCTGTTCCAAAAATAAGTTTTCATTTTGTTTTTCATTCATTTTAACTTTTAAGAAGAGGTGAAATTGTGTAGTTTAGGTTTATGTAGGTGGAACTTGAGAACCATTCAATGCTAACCTTAAAAGGAATAAGAACTTTATTTTGGGACTAAGGGCATCTCTGAGGGTTGTTGGCTTGTTGCTTGGATTTGGTTGGAATAATCTAACTACGTATCTTAAGGCTAAAATCCATACAATTCCAAAGTAATCCTTCGCTTACGAAATCAATTAGAATATGTAGGGATCTGTGGACACTGAAATACTGTGGAATGCACAGAATTCCAGATTGAGCCATTGAGGACACCTGAAATATGTGAAACATGCATAATTTTAAATTAAGATTGTGTGGATTTATATGGAGTTTTGAATTCATCGAATTTCACAAGCAAGGACACCATATATGAAAGAAGCCTTGCATCATTTCCTTGCACCTTTACTGAACCATTGCAAGAAAGTGCACTGATAAATGTGAGATCTTCTATTTCCAATCAAATCTTTTGTGATATTTGATAACACCACTAACAATAGTGACCAGAACAACATATGAACCTGAAAATGATAAGATGTCATTCTGACATATTTTTCCAAATCATGAAATACATTCCTATTCCATTTAACTCAAATGTTCTGAATTAGGCTTTTCTTTTGATTATTATGTGATATATAGGAGGTGGAAGTGGCCACGAGCCTGCTCATGCTGGATTTGTTGGGCAAGGGATGTTGACAGCAGCTATATGTGGAGATGTTTTTGCCTCCCCAAACGTTGAAGCCATTCTTTCTGTAAGATAAACACTCCCAATGTATTTACTCAATGATCTGTATGTTATTGATTTTGATACTTTCAAACTAGCTGCATTCTACTCTAGGGTATACGAGCTGTTACTGGTGCTAAGGGATGCCTCTTAATTGTCAAGGTACCTATCTCATAAGATTACCATTTTTATCTGTTTGCTTGGCTATAACATTTGTATGCCTAAATTAAAAAATGTAAGCTTAGTAATATTATTTTATCTTTCATTGAGGTAAGTTTAAGAGGCTCTTCGGTTGAAATGAAAGCACATGAAATAATGTCTGAAATTGAAAATAGTAAACATTATTTCCAACTGAAGATGTTCTTTAAATTTCTATCTGTAAATGAGAAGCAATTTCTTTCTTATTTTTGAAATGACCAAATCCAAAATAAATGCTTTGCCACTTTTAAGTTATGACCATGGCTAGTCAAATATTGCCGACTTCTACCCAACCAACTTAAATTATTCACAGTACAAAATTTATGCCGATGTAATGCAGAACCCAACTTCATATGACTGTTCTATAGTGACTCATCCTGTCTCTTAAACACTGAAAGGTTTTACGTATCCAATGTTATTATAAGTTTTGTCATACTCTTAACTAAAGGTAACAATGAGAGAACCTGATAAATAATACTCCCTCCATCCAGATTTGCATTTGTATTGTAAATGCAGAAGACTGATTATAATGTTTTAGAAACATGAACAAGCACATAGTTTCGATGCTAAAACATGTGGACTTTTTGAATCTTAAGAAAGTGTCATTAGATCTACTTGAATAATAATTATTTACTATTTTTTTAGTATTTTTGGTTCTGTGTAGAATTATACTGGCGATCGCTTGAATTTTGGTTTGGCTGCGGAGCAAGCAAAATCTGAAGGCTATGCAGTAGAGGTATATTGCAATAGTCTGCCTCCAATAAGCAGATACCATATCTTATTTTTCCCTGAATAAGGAGATACTTCCACCTATCTTTCTAAAACAATTACAAGTTGATCCCATTTCTTATTTTACATATTATATAAGATTCAATCTTGATACGAAATTAGTGATTTATCATAACAAACAATTCGTTGGTGATACACCACTACATTATACTTAATGTCTTAATGGACTCCGTTACTTCCTAGGCTAGTGAGATGATTTTTAACAAGTCATGTGTTAATGTATCTTTTACTATTCAATGAGACACAATTCTAATGTTTCAATTATCACTAGTTTTGTTTTATACACACTAGAATGATCCGTGCAATTTCTAATTTACTTGGAACATCTGGTTTTCTTTTGCCTCTTTTTGTTGGACGTTTCTTATTTTATACTCCCCCCTCCCCAGTTAATTTTCACACTCATTATTTCAGGGTCAAAGTTTAATCAATTTATTTCCTTATTTTCATTA